AAAACATGTAAATACATCTATCAAAATATACATAAAAACTTATGTATATAAAACACAAAATAAATATTTTAAAATAAAATTTCAATTTAAAACATAATAAATTTATCCTTTAATTTTCTCTAAATGTATTTATAAAAAATCAAATTATTTATATTAAAAATGAACTAATCAATGTATTTTTTATTAATTGGCTAATAATTTTAAACACGGACAACAATAAATGATTAATTACGTTATAAATTTCTCAAAGTACTAAAACTCATTTTATAAACTTCCAATTTAATAGAAAATCTATAAGGTTAAAATTTAATTCAATACAATGCTTGAACCTCAATTTTTAGCTCATTAGATGCTAATTTTGATTAGAAATCACTAAATCACTTCATTACTCAATGCTAGTTAAAAACCATTTAATTTTTTTTTAACTTTTATGTGATTTAAACCATTTTATTAACTTAACCCTAAAACCAATTTGTTAAATTATTTACTAATTTAAACCATGAAACTAAATTTAACTACTACCAAACACATATTTATTTATTTATTAAAGTTGTGCCATAAGAACTTTTAATTCACATGCCATAACACCTAAACCTAGAACACATATTAGTGCCCAAAAACATGAAAGAAAAGAGAATTTTAGGTCATCTACGCCAAATCTACATTTTAAGTACACACATCAACAAATCAAGCTTCGTTCGATAACAACTTTAATCTCGAAACATGTCATCATTTATCCCTCTTCTCACCTACACCAAAAGATGAAATGGTGAACAATGCTCAATAAGTGTAAGTCCATGCATGAGATGCATGTAATGCAAATAAAAATCTTTCCTTTTGTGCTTTGAAATTCATTTTTCTTTTTTGGATGCTCCTTACCGAATGTGTATATATTCGGTCCTTTTTTAAAAACATGTATTGTAAAAACACAAAAAGCATTAAACACATTCCCTTTTTATTTTATTTTTTTCTCATAAAAAGTTGATTATTCATTTTGTAAATCTCTTGAATGTGTCTAGCCATTTCCTTTTGAAAACCATGTCATTTCCTTTTCCTTTCTTAAAAATCATGAAGAAAATCATTTTCATGATTATGACATGCATATGCATGGAATGAAATGCATTTCCTCAAACCTTCACATGAATATGTAAGAATTTATATATACTAATTAATAATTGCATGCATATAATGAACAATTACACCATATATTTTCAAACAACATGAAAATTAGAGGTTGGCCAAATCATATGGCATCAACAACTCAATCCACACATAACTTTTCACTTAGGTTGAAACATATCACACATTAATAGGCATCTATATTAATCATTAAATATCTAAAACACATACCAAATATCCTAAATTAATCATGTAACCTAAAATTTACCAACTAACACACGAAATCATCAATTAATCAAACATCATTGGAAAACATAATCAATTAGTGTCAAAAATCCAATAGAATTTGAATGTATCATTTGGTATGCCTAATACCTAATCTAACAAATCACATATAATCAAGATATCAATTCACCCAATAATAACATGATTTCATGTTTTTACAGCCTCATAAACTTTAATTCATCACAATTACATAAAATTAACTTAATTAATCCTAAGTTAGTTCTTGGTCGAAATATCCAACCAACACGATTAAGGACAAATTCTCAATTAAACACTTGTATTCATGTCCATTCAACCTCTCAAATAATTAAACACCATTACAACATCAAAATAATTCAATCAATTCCAAGACCAATTTATGTTGAATCTTGGTAATCCGAAACCACCATCAATTAGTTTCTAATTAGACCTCGTTTCACCACTAAATACATTAATTCCTTAAACATTCATGCTTTGAGATTAAAATCACATCAATTAAACATCAATCAAATATGAACATCCAAGAATTCATTAAAACCAATTCAATTGCATACTAACCTAACAATTCTAACAATACTTTTAACAATCATCAAACATCATAACTATTTAAAAACTTGTGATGTAGTTAGGACCACACTTACCTTGATTGATGCTAGCCTTAATTTTATCTTGAAATCCTTGAATTCCTTCCTCCTTTCTTCCTTGAAAGTTTTGGCCAACACCCTAGTTCCTCCTCTTCTCTTCTTTCGACCACTTAAGCAATTCTAAGATGATTTTATGGTTTGATTCTTGTTAATTTGGTGTTTTTGGTGGTTAGATTCACCTTGATTCTACTTGATTTTGGCTTGATTTCATTAGTTTTTCCTTTCATTTTCTCCTCCTTAGCCGAATTATTGGAGAGAAAAATGGCCTAAGATTATGCCAAATGTTAAGAAACATTTAAGGCTAACTTTTCTTTCCTTCACTTAGTAAATTTTCTAGAAATGTCTTGTATTTTCTTATTTTCTCTCCTTATTTCCTTCCTATTGCCAAATGACTTAGTCTCTCTTCATTCTTTTTTGTCTTGCAATTCATGTAAGGCTAACTATCCCAGTTAGCCTAATTATTGACTCCTCTAAGTTTTCAATAGTTTTCATTTTGGTCACTTAAGTTTATTAATTAATTGAATTAAGTCTTTATATTTTGGTCCTTAAAATTTTAATTATTACAATTAAATTCTTATTCTAGGTATTATAGGTTTTCTAAGTTACATAAGATCTAGTAAACTTTACCTCTTAATTTAATTAAGTGCCTAAACGTTTAATTATTTCGATTAAGTTCCTAGGTTATGACAATTCAATCCTTAGATTACTTACACATTTATAACCTTTAATAATTTAAACTTACCAAATTAAACACTTAATAATTCATTCACATGACATAATATTCATGCATACGAAAAAATATAATTTGTCCCGCCAACATAAAAATTAATTTCATATACTTAACATAAAGTATTTACACATATATAAATGTATTTAGGGGTTTTTAGATTCCAAATATTACAAAATTCCTAAATTGACCTTAAGTTCGAATTCACAAAGTTAAGGTCTCATAATGATATTATGCAAACTCATTACTAATAATTTTCTCACAAACAAAAAGTTTAAACGAGTACATAGATGCATCCATTTAGCAATATTTGAGTAACATAATAGAAGGAAAAAAAACGGAAGACTAAAAACTAAATTTCAACTAACAATAAGAATCATGTTGAGGGTCTTTAAATGTTAAATCAATGTTTTTCTTTCAAGCTTTTAAAACAAGTAAATATTTTTTTGACATTCTATAACGTGATGAAATTTTTATCATTCAATAATAAACATCCCTAAAGTTGATTATGCTATGTTTGGTATAACTTTTTGATAGATCCGAAAGCATGCAAGATGATGTTACCACATAAAAATAAAAAATAAAAATAAAAATAAAAAAAACCTCCAAAATTGAAATTTTCCAAACATATATATATATATATATATATATATATATATATAAATAAACTCATATAGTTTCTAATTCTCTACAAATTAAACATAAAATTTAATATTTTAATTTTTAATAAACTATATTTTTTTAATTATTTTTTCCATTTTTAACTTATTTTGTGAAGAAAACACCTAACTGAAATTTGAATGAATAGATATCAATATTGATTGTGATGACATGTGAATCTACTCATCGGAAAAAAGTTTTTTTAATATACTAATTTATAAAATAAAAAAATTGACGAAAACATTAAAACAAAACTATTGTTTACTATTCATTTCATTATCCATGCATAATTGGTTTACTATTTACTAAGAATTAATTGCATAATTTTTTTTCATTATGACGTGATATTGTTATTATTTCAAGCTATCTTAAGGTATTTGGTATAGAAGCTGTTGTTGCATTGTTATTATATTCAACCCATCTTCAGCATTTGATATGCAAGTTTTTGTGAATGTAATACTTTAGTTCTTTATTTTTTTCACATATTTTTGTTTCAATTTCAAGTTTTGTTTCACTAGCTTGTTTTTTTTTTCAGTAATTTATTTTAAATTTTAAATTATTGGTCTTTTTGATAAAATATAAAAAATTGATTGTTATTTTTTAGGTTTTCCGCACAAATTGGCAAGAAATAAATATATACAACGTGTTTCGTATTTTTAAATGAACATATGTTTCATAATATAATACTCTTATTATTTAAAATTAATTCTTTCGATTTGTCATTTTTTATGAAAATTCTCATTCAATTAATTTTTATTTTTAATTTTTATAAAATTTTATTTGCTAACAAATATGATTTATTTTTCTCTATATATAGATTTTATAATTAAATTTTAAAACATGATCATCTTTAAAAAAAAAACTTAAAATAACTTATATGATAAATTCTTATAATTTTTAAATTAGACTAGCCTATATATATATATATATTATAAAATTCTAAGACAAATCGTTATATATATATATATATATATATATATAATTAAAAGTCACATATGTACACCAGGAAAGAATTTCTCTGCATGTGAAGTATGTACGCGAGGGCCAACCATGTATGAAATAAGAATAGAAAAAAAAATTAAAAATTAAAAACAATATATGAAATTCATGTGTTTTATCTATAATATATAATAAAAAAAAATCTGTGGATAAATGACATGTAGTTTACTACTCTCTATGGTTTCTTTTATATTGAAAATGATAATTAAAAAATAAACTATCAATAATAAAAATTCAACCATATCCACTAATCATTCTAAAAATTGAAAGAATATTATTAAAAACCAAACCAAATCGAATAATTACTTTAGAAATTGAGAGGATCGAATAATTACTTCGAATAATTACTTTAGAAATTGAAAGAATCGAATAATTACTATGCAAATTGAAAGAATATTACTAAATATCAAGCCAGGCAATTGAGTCCTCATGTTCTTTTCGGACATCAGTCTCCTCGTTCTCTCTGCCTTCCTCTGACAATCCCCAAAAATATCTCTCTCTCTTTCTCTCAACTCGCCGCTCAAAATTCTAAAAAGGCGGCATTTTCCAGTAAACTAAACCTAAAAAGTAGAAGAGAAAGAAAAGAAATGGCTGCCCCGCCTTCCCCTTCCCAGGTATCTGGCTATCATGAGATTATTGTGATAACCCTAACTAAAAATCTCTGGAGCATTTTCAGTTTTCGCTTTCTTTATTTCTTTTCTTTAAACTGACTGGTCTTTTTTTTTTTTTTTTTTAGATATTGTTGATATAGCTTGAGAAAGGAAAAGGGGGCGATTGGTTTGGTTCTGGCGATATTAATAAGAAATAATGAGAATGGAGGGGGAGGAACCTGCAACAGCAGCAGAAGGAGGGCAGCTAAAAAGGGCGTTATTAGATGCGACAGCAGGTGCTATTGCCGGTGGTATTTCACGTACTGTTACATCTCCTCTTGATGTCATCAAAATCAGATTCCAGGTCCTTTTCATTTAATGGTTGAATTGTGGAGTTTGAAATTTTATTTGTTTGCAATTATGGGTTTTGGTTTTTCTCTATGAAACAATGCATTTTTTGTACTTATGCTTTTTTAGTAGGCTCGATAAATGGTTCATGTATGTAGATGTTTACCTTTGCAATGTAATTGGTTTATATGAATAAATTGTCAATGTTCATTTCTCTATTACATCATTTTTCGATTCAGAGTATCTGTGAAGTTCTGGTGTCCATGTGTATGGAATTGATATATAACTTGAATAAGACTTTAAAGTTCATGGGGGAGGCCTGGAAATGGGAAATATAAATCTTTAGTAGAGAAAGAGCTTATGCTATTGTGCACGTAAAAGAGGGAAGAGGTTGGAGAACTGCAATTTAATTTATATACTGGTGTTAGTTATTGTGTGTTTGTCTTTCAAATGCATGGTTGTATGTAGGTGATACAAAACTGTTGTGGTGACACTTAGAAAAATATTGGGGTGTGTACAGGTTCAACTGGAGCCAACGTCTTCATGGGCTTTGGTTCGCAGTAATATGGCTACACCATCAAAGTACACAGGAATGTTGCAAGCAACAAAGGATATATTTAGAGAGGAAGGTTTACCGGTATGATGCATTCTTTCTGTTTATTACTTTTGGATGGATGATTTATTTGAATACAGCAATTTGAAATTGGTTCACAGTAGGTGATTACTGATACTTTTTGTAGATGAGTATTAAGAAATCTAAGCCTACGATTTGAACTCTACAAAGGCAGGGTTGCTGAACCCCAGGTGGTTTACTCTCAATTTGCCAACTATATGGTTTAGTTTCAATTGAGGTGTGGTATAAATATTAAAGTGATAGAAATGTCTTTCAAATGTAGGTTTGTTTTCCATTTCTAAACACAACCTGAGTTTTTTCGCTATAATCCTTTTAAGAAAGGAATTTTCTATGTGTTATTATTGAGTTCTAGTTCTTCCATTGACAATGCTCTGCTTGTGTCTGAGAATGTAATTTTTTACTTACCCACGCTCTTTAGGTAGTAAAGGTAAATGAATCATGCTTTTCTTTTAGTTACAAATCTTGACGGTAGATATTCTATATACTATTACATACCACAAAGTTCATTCACTTCATGCCATTGTGTTCAGTGGATAGTTTATCATGTCCAAATACTGTCCTTGGGAGTTCCTTCTGGATATTTTCAAAAACTAATATTTTGAAGGCTATGTACCATTTTTCTGCTTTTTATCCAAGACAGTTGCTTGCTGTAGGGCTTTTGGCGTGGCAATGTCCCAGCTTTACTCATGGTTATGCCATACACTGCCATTCAATTTGCTGTGTTGCACAAATTGAAAACATTTGCTGCCAGGTCTTCTAAGACAGGTATAATTATAAACAGATCAATATCATCTGTAATTTGTTTTACATGGTTTAGCTGTCGTCAGTGAAGGTTTCTTTTGAACATACTCAATATATTTTGACTAGTAAATGGATGACATACACATATATAAATCAAATACGACCTCACTTTTTATTTTTGTTTTCCCTTGCTTTTGAATTGGTTCAACATATTGATCAGCATAAAACTGATTAAAAATTGTTCAATACATTAGTGTGAAGTAATGTGATGGTGACCGGTTTGCCACAATTTTTCTGGAAATCTACTCCTTGTATTACGCTCTGCTATATGTTAGTCATAAGGTCCAGATTTTGATTGTTAATTATTATATTTTATACCTAACGCTAGTGAAGGCCATTGTTTCAATGTTATTTTAAAATATTCTGGCACTGAAGGTGATGTAATGTTTAATCATTTTCCTGCTTTCATATTCTGAAGGTCTCTTTTGTTTGTTATTGCTGATTGCTCACTGTGATGCAGAGGATCATATTAAGTTGAGTCCTTACCTCTCCTATGTCAGTGGAGCATTAGCAGGGTGTGCGGCTACAGTTGGTTCATACCCATTTGATCTTCTAAGAACCGTATTAGCTTCACAGGGTGAACCTAAGGTATAGACTATGATTATCTGTTTCATTCTTATGCTCCATAAGAGATGTGGATGGCTCTCTTGAATTTTGCCAGTGATGATTTTGATTAGTGAAAGTATCAACTATGCCAAAATAAGATGACTGTATAAAGGAGTGTCTATATAATTTACATCACCTTATTCAGTTATTTTGTCTCAAAAACACTATTTTTTTAAGGCAACTTAGAATGATTTTTTTTTACATATTACGTCTTAAACTGATTAGTGCCTAATATAGGTGTATCCAACGATGCGGTCAGCATTTGTTGATATTATTAGAACTCGTGGCTTCAGAGGCTTATATGCTGGATTATCGCCAACACTGGTTGAGATTATACCATATGCTGGCCTTCAGTTTGGCACCTACGATACATTTAAGCGCTGGACCATGGTAAGAATTCAGATCTCGTTTTGTACTTAAATGTCTAAGCATTGGACCATGGTAAGTTTTTAAAGAGATAATAACTTCGCTTTGGAAATGGAAGAACCAAAATTGGCATTTGGTCGAAAGTCAATATAATGTGCTGGTAAAACATTTGAAAGTATAGCTTGGTCTTTTGGGATTATGCATTGGGATGTTTGCACATCAACTTTTAACTTTTTCTTAATTGAGTACATGGATTTTATTTTTTGTTCAAGTACATCAATTTTTTCAAAACTCGTCAGTCAAATTCTTCCGTCAATTTCTCCATTAAGTGATGACGTGTTTGTTACCTTCAAAATATCAAATTACAAATTTTTCCTCTTTTTTTCTCAATTGAGGGCATGGATTTTAATTTTTTTTGTTTGGGTAGACTAACTTTAGCAAAACTCGTCAATCAAGTAATTTCGTTAAATTTTTTTGTTAGCTGATTATGTGTTCGTTATTTTTAAGATACCAAATTATAATTTTATCTTAGTGTTGGAGGAAACTTTTCCCTCAAATGCTCGGAAGCAATGAATCTTTTTGATGAAAAATTTCATGTTTGTGTTTGCCTTCAATTTTCACGCCTAAACCTGATTGAGTTTAGTTCTGAGCCTATAGCTAAAAAAATAATTTTTTTTTTAATTCGTTGTCAATTTTTAAAACGATAGAATGATTTGGGAGGAAAGTTCCCTTTAACCAAAAGAGGGCAATTTGTAATTTGATATTCTGGATGTAACGGACACTTCATTAGTTAACGGAGAAATTGACGGAAGTATTTGATTGATATTTCTGAAAAAGGTAGTGTACTTAAGAAAAAGAAAAATTAAAATCCATATACTTGATTAAGAAAAAAAAAAAAAAAAGAGGGCAAAATTGTAATTTGATATTCTAGAGGTAGCGGATGCGTCATTACTTAACAGAGAAATTTACAAAAGTATTTGATTTACAGTTTTGAAAAGGTTGGTGTACTCGAACAAAAAAAATTAAAGTCCATGTACTTGATTGAGAAAAATTTAAACAATTGGTGTACTTATAGTGCAATTATGCTGATTATGCATCCATTAACACTAGAATTTTAAACAGCACCATTCTGAGATGGAGATATATTGAGGGTTTAAGACACCTTGTCATTTCTATCAAAGTAACTGCTAATTTGGAGGAGAGACCATTGTGTCATAGATTTCATTGGCCAGACAATTTAGTTCTTTACATCTTGTCATTTGGTTGAGCATTGCAATATTTTTTCTGTTTCTGGAGAAGTACTTTCTTGAAGAGACTTTTGAAAGAAGGTTACATGTGTTGCATGTACATGGTGGATATTTCATACTGCTTTTTACACATACATGCCGAGTTGTTTTGGACAGTAATACATTTTGCAGGATTCATTGTAGGCCTGGAACCATCATAGATCGTCTACTACAAGCCCCATAAGTACAAATGATAGCGCTTCCAGCTTTCAGCTTTTTCTCTGTGGGTTAGCGGCTGGCACGTGTGCCAAACTTGTCTGCCATCCTCTTGATGTGGTCAAGAAAAGGTTTCAGGTAGATTCTGCATTTTTTAACACTGATTGCTAAAAGCTTCTCTTTTGTTCCATGTCAATCTGCCAGTCGAAAGACGTGAATTTTAACAGGTTGTATTGTTGCAATCTGTTTCTTTCTTCCAGCACTGTCAGTTATATTTGATTTTATGTTTTTGGCTGCTGCAGATTGAAGGACTACAGAGGCACCCAAAATATGGTGCTCGAGTTGAGCATCGTGCTTACACAAATATTTTTGATGCTCTTCGCCGAATTTTGCTGATGGAGGGCTGGGCTGGGCTTTATAAAGGCATCATCCCATCCACTGTCAAGGCTGCACCAGCTGGTGCTGTAACATTTGTATCTTATGAACTTACATCAGACTGGCTGGAGTCTATCATGACTTGAGTCTAACAAAATATTCTGTTTTCTTTTTATGCATTTTTGTCGTTCCATTCTTTTTGTTTGAATGTTTGGTAATTAGGAATAAAGTAGTATTAATGAAAATAAAAATTTTATTTTTATATTGTAGCTATTAGTTGAAAAGAATGAAGTGAGAATGAAAATAAAAATTACATACAATTTTATTCTCATTTAAAAGATGGAAATAAAAACAAAAAATAGGAAAGATTTTTTTAAAAAAAATAATAATATATTTTATTTATTTATTATATATTAATTATTTTAACTTTCGTCACAACCATTATCACAGCTGCTATCACCACCAAAACATGATTAAAATTAAAATTTAGAGCACGCGGTCAATTTTTGTAGATGTTCTGCAAAACAAAGATATTATCTATAAACCACTGGAAAGCATATTGTTTGATGCTATGTTTATTTGAATTAGGATGCCAACAAAGCATGATTGTATTTTGATTTTATTTGCTTTAAATACAGAAGCACGATTTCAACATTGGGATCTTGGGAATCGAGGGGATGGGAGCACAATGGCTTCGCAATTGAAAGGAAGACGAGCAGGAATTCACGTCTTTATGTCATGGGAGACTTTGTTTGGGAAATTTCATTGTCCTGTTTCTGGGTTTGCTTTTGTGGAAACTTTGGTCGCTTATTGCTATTTTACTGATTGCGTGTCTGGTGATTGTTAGATGAACTTGCAGCAGCTGCAAGTGTTGGGGACCTTAGCAGTTAAGTCTATTTAACCACTAACCATCTAAGACTGCCCCCTATATCTCACTGGTAAATAAATTTATTACCAGACCCAGAAATATACTAGCCACAAGCTGCTCAAAGTGCAGAGAGTCACAGAGCTATATCTTTATTAAAATTAGAAACCTGTTAGCAATTATATTTTCCTTCCTTCAAGGAGCTGGATGCAATACTTGGAACTTAATCTATGAGAAGACAGCAACTATCTCGGAATCAAACAAATACAAGTTCCATAGATATATAGTCAAAAATAAAAATTGGATCAACAGAACCGAATAAGGAGTGGCAACTGCCACATATGAAGTGGCAAAGGTCCAAACTTTGCAAGTGCATAGAGAAATATCAACATCATTGATAGTAAAATGTCACCTTGCTTAAAACCTTGCATAACCCCAAGTTGAAAACACATGATTTTATTTTAAATTTCAATACAATAAAGAAGGGGGAAACAGTTCCCCAGCTCTATCTTAAAATAATTAAAAAAAAAAAAAATTGTTCAATTAGTGGTCAGTATCAGATTCACCAACAAAAATTGCTGATGACATAGTCAACAGAACAGATTATTGTCCAAAATTTTGTTCACAACGGCCAACAAACAGTTATATTTGTATTTGCTGATTTGCTCTATAATGAAGGACATGAAATTCGGGCATCAACTCTTTCTTATTCAAAAGGATATCCTGTCAGTAAAGCAGAAGATCAAGCGAGAGCCAACAAATTTTTACCTTTCACCAATTGCCTTTCTGTTTGTTGTTATCCTCTGGAGGCAATGATAAGAACTGCAAGACCCTCTGAACTTGTGCAACTTCAAGTTGAAACTTATCTGCTATTTGCTGGGCGTTCATAGGTCCTTCATGATCATCAGCCTTGCCTTGATACATGAGCATGATGTGGCGCAGCTGTGACACATTCAGAGTTCCCGGAGCAACAGCTCTTTCTTCATTGCTGCCAGAATCAGGTTTTGTGCTTCTCAGCTTTGGCATGGGCCTATTGTACCTTTCCACCACAGGTGCCTGTCAAGAAATCCAACTGGACTTTCAACAGATGATCTCAAGTGAAAGAAACATGCTGTGGCAAACAATTTTCAGGTTGCCATTATCTCTAATTAATGAAGTTATACGATCATTCTAAACGAAATGGGAAGGAAAACACTAAAGGTATTAAAGTGACAAGCACATACCACTCCAATGTTTATTACACAACTTTGAGAAGAATATCAGAATTCAGATAAATGCATAGAGAAATTCTGAATTTGTTTATCCAAGCAAATCTCAACAACAGTAATCTATTTGGCACCATATCAAGAGTAGGATCACAATGAACAACTAAACGCACCACCAGTCACCAGAGCAATAGTCAAGATTATATGATTAGGCTCACTAAGAAAGTTACAACTAAGTGGAACCACTTGTTCAACATGCAAATGTGTTCTCAGTTGTGAGACTTTATCCAAGTGCACCTAGTGATTTTCTCTCTAAAATATTTTTCCATTTCAAAAAAGCATTATCTTGGACTTCACAATTAATCATGTCTTTTTATCTGAGTACTTCAAGGAAAACATAAATCAATAGAATTTTCTTCTTCTTCTTCTCCTTTTCTTTTCATCAGTGCCATTCCAGCACCATGTTAATGCATATTGCAACAAGGAGATTTGAAAAAGTTTCTGGCATAGCTATAATCAATAAATAACAGTAACTTTAAGTGATATTATCTAGAGTTGAGTGGAAAAAGTAAACAGCAGGAGTGGATCCCAATAACTCACGTCACCAGTTTCAAGCTTTCCTCCGGGCTTAGATTTAATTCTACCCACCATTTGACTAAGCATTGCATCATACCGAGAATCTCGTTCTTCAAGGGCATTGTCAGGATTAATTCTTGGAGCATCATCTTCAGTGAGGAGTTGTAAGACAAAAAAAAATAATAATAAATAAAAAAGTGAAGTAACATTAATTTAATAAGTTCCATTCCTAGGAGTAGCATCCCACAAGCAAGTAGTGTGGCGAAAAAGAACATCCAATAGACCTTATCAAATACTAGCTCAATATCTGAAACACAAACACAGATCATTTTCTAAGTATTGATAAGTTCGATCAATAATCAACACCAACCAATTAATACTATCAAACTAAGGTCAAGTATATAAATGATTTGCAATCTGCTTCTACCCATTAAAAAGCCCACATAACTGGTCAGTTCTAATATATTTCTTACAGAAGATACATAGCACATATGCATCCCTACTCTCATGTGAGCGAGCATAAGGAACGGTATGAGCATACAAAATATAAACATAAGAAGGGACCAAAATGGAAGAAAGCAATATTTAAAACATTCCAAGAAAATGAATGTCAATACTGGGTTTTCAATTTCAATTATCCCAGAAATGAAACAGACCCTTCAACTCATGTCAGGTTAGATTCTGTAAAACAATTTCGATATCCCAAAAAGTATTGCATTATTTTTGCTTAAAAAAAATAGAGCTCAATTTGTGCTATTTCCTCATGTAATGAAACGATATTTCATCATCTTGAAAAAAAAAATTAAGCAAGCAGTAATATGAATCGATAAACTAACCAAAGCCAAGACCGTTATGGTTGTTAAACTGGTCGGCGCTGGTGCTCCTTGAGATCTCAACCTTTTCGATGGAATTGACCGGCGGCCTCCGATCAGTGACGCCATATGGAGGTGGGTCCGGTGGTGCTCGGATTCTTCCAGATGCTCGACGAAAGGCCTGACCCATTATTGTTTTCTTTATTATAGCTATGAATTGCCAACGCTTATAACACCGTCACTGTCCACCTTGTGATTTTTTATTTATTTATTTATGGTGGAGAAATATCATAGAGCCTAGCTTTTGTGCAACTTCAAGAGCAGTGTAGTAGGAAATGGAAATGTAGAAGAAGAAGATGGGCGCGGACAACGCACGCTGCTTTATATATATATTGTCCTCAGGAGAAATTTGGTTGACACGTTGGTGACTTATTTGCATGCCACGTCTACATCTTCCTTGTCTTTCTTTATTGTGACTAAGAGTGGAGAAGGGAGTTTCTTTTTTTTTTTTCATAATAAGATAGTTTTAAATTTATTTATCAAAATAAGATATTTTATATTATATAAAAACTATCTCATTTATATAATTTGGTATATCAGCTTTTTTTAATTATTTTATTAAATAAATATTTTTATCATCACGCATTAATTTCTTTTTTTTCTTTGTATTAGTACATTCTTCTTCTTATTATTATTCTTTTTTTATCTCACTCTATCCTTTTTATCTACACAAAAATGTAAAATGAATTTCCCAAATTTTTTTATTTACTCATAATACTTACACCCAAACAGTTTTTGCTGTGAATTTCAATATCATTTCTTATATTAATCCAACAATGTTTCCACCATAAATTTAAAGCCAACAGCAGTTTGAAACATTCCAACTGCACCTTGCATAAATATGGAGAAGTAGATAATAATAGTCATCAACCAATAATGCTGGAGGAAATTATATCACTCTTCCCAACATCTTTGTGCAAGAATTTGAGCAATACTTAGTTTTCTGTATGTCCTTCCGAAAAAACATGTTAAAACAGTTTGATATGAACCTTTTTTGCTAGTTTGAATAGGAACCTGCGGATTTTTTTCTAATTTAATGTGATCCTTTTCTGCGATAAGCAAATTACCACCCTCATCCTTGGTCATGGTTTTAACGCTCTACTCTTTCTTGCTATTCTTCCACACAGCACAGCCTTTCAATACAGTATTTTTGCTTTCAAAATCAGACTTCTGCAACTCAACCTGGGATTGGATATTATCAATTGCGCACATAGCATTGTCTTGGGCTGGAACTCCTGGCAACATCCTAATGTGGTCAATTAAACCATTGAAATCGAATGACCAATCTACTTTTTCCAGTGATGTTCCGTCATGATTACTAAAAGATTCACTTGCTGTAGAAAGATCACCATTTACACTACCCATTTCTGCTGCTGTTTTATTACTCATTGTCCTTTTAAACAAGTCCACTAATCCATCAGATGATGGAGGTCTTTCATTCAATTTAGAGCCATCAATGTTCGCCCTTTCAACAACTGTGGTTGTTTCTTCTCAACATGAAACTCTATGTTTCTAATTGAAGATGATTCATTTGCACTTTTGTGCTGGCTTGTATCAAAAGCATCATCAAATAAGCGATCTGCAAGATAAATTAGGTGACCGTCAGAAACTAGATATAAAAAGGAACAATAAAAAAGAAAGAAAAAACAAAAGAATGGTAAAAGAAATTTAGAGTAACAAAGAAGATGAAAAAAAAAAGTTTTGGGGCTGGCCAACAGTCATAGTTTGGCCAGTAGCAGCCCCTGAACCTTTTAGGTGAAAACTTTTTTTATTTTTTTTATTTTTTAAAAAGAGAGGCTTAGCATTTTTACATTTTTTAATTAATGAAATAACTAAAATAAAGATAAAGGTATTTAATGTAATGAGATTATTTTTCAACAATTAAGAAAAAAAATGACATGGATAAAAAAATCTCATGTGACAAAAAATATCGTTGTTTCATAATTAAGTTTAAAAGTACCAAATTGAGGAATAAAGATTTAAAAGTGTATTGATTTAGGAAAAAAACTCAGTGAAAAAAGTGGCTATTGCATTCCATACTTGGTTCATCAATCAATTTATTTTATTTATTTAACAATATTATTATTTATTGGTTCAATATAAGGAGAAATTTCTCATAAATACACTAATAATAAAGTGTGGATAATTTGCTAATATTCAACAGTAAACGAACATAAAGTCCCTTATGTGTGATCATGAAAATTATTTATTTATTTATTTTTTCACTGTAAATCATAATTGAAAGTTGTTTTAATAAATAATGATGAACAATAATTTAAGCGAAATGCATATTTTAGCAAGAAAAAGAAGACTAAGCAATTTCTTTAAAGATTGAAGATAGCATGAGCTAAATTAATAGACTAGGATTAAAATTTTAGATTTTTATTACAGTTAAATTGAACCAAACTTAGAATTTTTTTTTTTTTTTTTGGGTTAAAAAATAATCCTTTTTAATATATAAAAAAAAAAAAAAAAACTTTAACTAAAAAGATTTGTCAGGTTGTTTCTAGAAAACCATAATTTAAAAAACAAATACTACTATTTTTTTTTCCTCTTCTTCCATTCATTCCCTCTTTCCTAATGAAATAAAACTCAATATATATTCAACAAGTAACCATATTTTTGTGGAGGGAAAAAAAAAACAGAAAAGTTAGACCAAAAAAGAAAAGACAAGGAATAAAAAAGACAAAAGAGAGAGAAATAGCAGTGGAGATGGCAATAGGGCTAAAGAAAAATAGAGAGAAAGCATTCAGAAGGCTTTTCAGGAAACATAGCAGTTAAGCAGCTGCTATCATATGGCTTTTAACGCTACAATTGCTGCAGGATTTGATGTCTAACAGAGTTGTGAAAATAGCCGACTCTTATTTGAGAAACAATGAGACGTCGTTGTGTTCAACGTTCCAACATCAGTTGATTCAATTAAAGAGCAGCAAATGTTGAAAAACGATAAACCCCATTAGAACAGGAAAATCCATCTGCTTACCAAGCGTGGATGAATTTAATAGAAAACAAACACACATTGAGAGAGAGAGGATTAGACCATAATGGACTATAGGTTGGATAAAGGGGCAATGGTTGCCTCAATCAGGCAATGGTGAGATGGGAATCAAGATTAAGAAGTATCTGTACTGTCAAATGCTGTTGGAAAAGAACACTTTGACTAGCATGCAACTTTTTCTCCATCTTGTTTTTAGATGCTAAACATCTCGCAAGGTTCTTTGTCCAAAGTAGACGCTGTCTTGGAAAGTCTATAATTCTATTCTGATCATTGTGAAGTTAGCACCACGCATGTTGCAGCTCGAAGCAAGAAGAGCGCTGCATTCAAGTCTTGGGTATTTGACAGCTGAGAAGAGCTGAGCCTTCCAGGGTCTTAAGGTCTCATTCATTCCTATGTCACAAATTGGCAAGTCAGCAATAAAAAAATCCTGGAGCCCAAGGTTGGAACACTACCCATAATTTAAATCTGAACCTCACTGAGCATGTTACTGTTACTCTTGCACCCACCATTTCCTCTTTCATTTCCTTCAAAATCTGTCATATCAGCACTGAAGTTTTCAGTGATTCTCATCTTACTACGAGCACGTCGTGAAGGCCTCGACATTCGGTTACCTAGAGAAAAATCATCTCTACTCTTCCGCTTCTGCTTTATGCTTAAAAAGCCACAAGCAAGAGCTTCCAGCGCTTTAGTGGTTGGCGGTCGGTTTCTTGTGCTGTGTCTCCGCAAGTTCATATTAGGTGGCTGCTGAGAAGAATCACATACCACTGTAGAGATTTTTTGCATCCCAAAATCCTCTATTTGCCTGCTTGCTTGATCATCTTGTACTTCTGTCACTTCCCTCATTGAAGGTTCCGTTTCAGCATCTTGAGGTATAGGTATGTTAAGGTCAATCAGTGCCCGAGATTCAAGTTTCTCATGAGGATGTTCAGTACCAGAAGAATTACAGCTGAGAGTGCATTCATCACTAATATTTGGACTGCCTCTGGAAGAACTGGTAGCTGATAATTTCTCTGCAGGTGGATCCACTAGAGAGAAAAAATCCTCTCTAAAATTAGGACCTTCTCCAGCACAACCAGGCTCATCTTGTTTTAATCCATGACTATCAATTCCACCACAGCTTGTCTTCGTCTGGTCACAAGCAATTAATCTCTGTTGACGTTTTGCAACTGGGGCCAAAAGTTTTCTGTCACCAGGTCTTACTCTCCGGGTTGCTTGACGCTTGATAGCCTTTTTCGTCTGCATATCATCACATTTATCAGCTTTCTGTTCCTTGGGAATTCTTTCAGGAGCCTTGGCAAAACCTGAACCGTTTATAGGGAAACTCTGCTTTAAAGCATTATATTCAACACTTTCCCTTTCAGAAAATACTCCCTTGTTCAAATCATTCTTTTTGGTTTTTTTCATGGTAGTCTTATTCCTATCAGAACACAAGTTACCAGAAGAATCAGATTCATCAGTTGACTTCTTAGAAGAATCATCATCACTATCTTCAGAATCACTTCTGGAGGTGGATATGTTCATCAATCCGACTGGTAAGCTCCTCAGTTCTCTCATCTTTTTTGTTTCCCCATTGGCAAGACTTGTATCAACAACAGTAAACATCATGGAATCTGAAGCGCGGCTTGGAGTTCTAGGTTTGAGGTAACAATGGCGTTGTTGACCAGGAAAATCTCCTTGGTCCAAATTATTGCTCCATGCAGTTTCTTCCTTCCCACCGTCACCCTTATCTTCTCCAATGTCAAGCTCAAGAAGCATTGGATCCGAAGCAACTTTATTCAGGACATCACTGACAGAATCAAAATAGTGGTCTCCTTTCACTAGTTTCCTTCTTGAAAACTTTTTGATGCCAGGGATCAGAAAGACCAGAGAATGCCTGGAGGCAGCAGCAAAACCATGATCATTAGGCTGCTCAGAATGCCAACCTCTTGCAAGTAATCGAGGCCAAACAGCTTCCCAGAACAGATCATTTGATCGGGCTTTGCTTAAGCGATAGCCACCAGTCAGGTAGTTGATAATTTCAACAGGTGTCAGGGTTGAGCATGCTTTTCCAGTTGGTATTTCTGGACGGACAGGAGCAACTTGATTGGACTTCAGAGGCTCCATGGTAATGCCTGTGAGATCTTGCTTTCCTTTACCAATTCCCACTGCCTCTACAAGGGCATGCAATCCGACAGTCACCTTTAAAGTGAATACATATTCTTCCAGCAACATTTTTCCCTCTCCAAATGCCTTCGCAGCCTGTCAATTGATGAAATTAATAAGAGTCTCAAACATAGGACAAGTTTATTAGCAGTAAAACTATGAACTTTGCATCTCAAATCAATGCTCACACCGCCCTTTTTGTGCTGTCATCTAACAATCCTCCTCAGTGGAAAAAAAAATTAACTGCAATTTTAGGCTTTCACGCAACCAATCATGAATCATTAGTAAACTGGCTTGTCTCAATTATGTTATCACATCTGTTATCCTAAAGAGACAAATAAAGGATGAAAGGAGTAATGTAGTCGCAAATCATTTGAAGAATTTACAACAGCTCCATCTGTCAATTCATGAATCCAGTATAAACATATATTCTGTCTGTAGTAGCATAAGAAAGTTGCAACTTTCTCAAATTTTGTACAAATAATGTGATGTTTAAAGGAGCCAGTAGAATGATATTTGCAAATGGTTCAACAGAAGTGCTTAAAACATATTTCTTGATATCAATTAGCTAATTCAGAATATACTTTGTGACTTTTGGTATATGTGTGCATGTGTTTTGTCTTTTTTGCAAAGTTGCCCATGTGCTTTATAAATAATCACAACTCATTTGGTGCATCTTGGCATTAAAGATTGTGCTACATCCAGAAATACTTCATAAAATACCTCAAGCAAAATATTTTTGCATTCCTCTGACAATTGCGGAAGCAAACGAGATAACATTTCATGTTGCCTCGATCCTGTAAAAATCCTTTGCCCATATATACATTTTCTACTTCTTATTTTACGGCACTCTGACCATTTACAGTATCTGTCGGTCCTATAAAACTTCCCATAATAAAATGAGAGTATGTCACCCAGCGTCTTGCTCTCAACAAAGTTCTTCACTTGAACAAGATTTTTTCCAAAAATATATAAACCAAGAAGAAAACTGTCCTCCTCTGCATCACTCCAAGGGTTGCCCACAGAACCCGGAACCAAGCAGTAATCTTTAACTCCAAGTTGGCAATGCATTTCATTACTTATTTCTGGTTGAAAACATAACTTTGCAGGTTCTCGTACTTCTATGCCACTATTTGTTGTAATATCCATAAGCTCAACCTTAGTTTCCAAGTCCACTTCTGGAACAATCTTTGCCTCTCTAATGCTTTCAGGTTTTACAGACTCATTCTGATTGGAAGTGTCAGTCATATCATGATGATAATCTTGTGGCTCATGTTTAATATTCCCAACTTCCTCACTTATCCACATTAATGAGATAGGCAATCCAACCAAAAACTCATGGCAAGTAGCAGACAAGATTATCATATCAGCTGGACTCTCTACATGCAACCGAAAGGCACATTCTGTCATAAGAGCTGGAATTTGAACTTGGTACTCATCTCCAATGCGAGGAAGCAGCTCAGGATCTCTGCAGGCATCACAAATGCCTGGAGAAAGTGATTGCTCAGTAGATCCATCTTCAATGCAATTCCACTCAGAATTCCCTTCAATAGCATCCATCTGTAAAGGAGTTCAAACAAGCAAAGATGGATACTTAAAATTTAAAAGAAAAAACAACACAAAAGGCATAAAGCTGCCTTGCATTGTCAGCAAAAATAAATAAGCTTAGGTTTGATGAATACTACGAAGATAACAGTTCCTCGTATATCACTGATCAGGTTTTCCAACCAAAATAGAAACAAAAAAGAAAAACAACGTTATCTAATTTGCTCAAACATCTATCCTTCTGCAGTAATCAAACACAAATTTTCAGATGTTTTTTAAAGAGATTCTCAGGAATTTAAAAAAAAAAAAAAAAATCTATACTTTCAGCGAGAATTAAATTATTTTCTATATCAGCCAAAAATATGCAAAATAGTAATTTATTTATTTATCAAAATTAAGAAAAATAATTTTTCCAATTTAAAGTAGTATAAAATAAAAAAGAAAAGCCCTCCTAATTAAATTTCATAAGCTGATAATGAAAAAAATACATACTATGTTAACACTCATAATAACAATCATAAGCACAGTTTTACACAAAAAATAAATAATAAATAATAAATAATAAATAAAAAAATAATAATACATGCACAAAAATAAAACAGGTAGCTATCAGTAAAAACAAAGTAAACAAGTCAGAAGTCCCCAACCCCAGATCCATTTTTCAACCCGACACCACCAGCGAAGCAATCCCATATCAAAAAGACTCAACTTTACAAAGAAAATAATAATAATAATAATAATAATAAATAAATAAATAAATAAATAAATAAATAATGAAGAACTCATTACGCACATTTCATTCTATCTCCGTAACCAATCCCAAACCCCAAAACACAACAAACACTCAAAGCTTAACATCCCAAAAACACACTAACACACAGCGAAAGAGCACGAGAGAGAGAGACAAAATATTTACTACTAACAAAAACAAGAATTCCAAAATGATCCACAACGAAATTCTACTCCTGCTCCTACTTCATAATACTACAAGAAGCCGTTAACAAATCCAAAAAAGACTAACAGCATTAAATCCAAAACTAAATACTCTATACAAAATAAAACAATTAAAAATGACAACAACAAAAAAATTTTAAGATAGAATTTTTACTATACCTCCATTGATACAACACAAAACCCGTCAAAACCCAAGTGTGATATGCAGAGAGAGAGAGAGAGAGAGAGAGAGAGCAACAGGAAGGATCAAAGGAGAAATGGATGTACTTTGTTACGCACCGATTGACAAGTTATAGATTAAAAGTAAACAAAACGTGACCACCATATATACCCACTTAAAAAACACACACACAACACAACACAACAGCAGCAGCAGCAGCAGCAGCATCTATATATGTACATAAATATATAGATATAGAGAGAGAGAGGGTTAAAGAGAGAGACAGAGAGGTACTTGCCTCAAGAAGCTAGGTGTTCATGGAAGAGAAAGATTTAACTTCTTGGCAGAGGAAATAAAAAATAAAAATGAAAGCAAGGTCGTTTTTTTTTTTTTTTTGAGAGAGAGAGAGAGAGCGAGCGAGGAAATATTTTTACGGGTTTAGTTGTTTTTTATAGAGAGGGGTCTGTCTCTCTCTCTCTCTCTCTCTCTCTCTGTGGTCCGTTTACGAGGACAAAAATGATATCTCAACTCGCGGATTTTGGTTTGTTATTTTACTCTCTTTAAGTAGTCGACACCTGGATTTTTAATTTAGATTCTTCCATCTCGTGGATTTTCTCGTCCCTATACTATATTATCTTGCACGATATAAAAAGTGCAATCAGATCATTAAAGATTAACATTTTATGAATTGTATGCCGTTTCATCAAAATTTTGCCTGACTTAGATATGTTGTAACACTAGATGGTAGGTCCATTTTACAATATTACTAATTAATTACATGGATAATATTGTGAAAAGTTGAAATTTAAGCACCATTTCTTTAATTTTTTTATTATTATTGATTTAAATTAAATAACAAGATGAATAGTTGACTTGTTTGTAAAACATTTTCCTTCCAAGTATTTTTTAGAATTTTTAATCTAAAACTGATTTGTAATAAGATCTTCTTTTCTTTAAAATCAAATCCTCTACTCTTTTTTTAATTAATGGAAAATCTGTGAAATAGTTTATTATGGCATTTTTTAAAAAAAAAATAACATTTGATTATAAAACAATATTTTTACAATAGAAATTATTCTATTGGACAATAATAAAAAAAAGCAAAATAAGAACTTGTATATATCTCATATAAGATAGGTTAAAAATTATCTTCTTTTTTTTTTGTGATGGTCAAATTAATAATCTCTAATGATAAGTATAAAATTAGTTCTTTCTTTTTTCTCACAACAATAACTAACAACTAATGTATAAAAAAGGGGAGAAAGCTATTCCACAAAAACATGCATGATATGACCTAAAAAAATCAAATTTCAAAACTTTATTTGCACATTTTCATAGTATGAGGTTCAATGTGACAAAATAGCATAGCAAATTTCATACAACAAGATTCCTTTGTAGCGAGTAAAGTGTTGGTCTAAGAGGTACTATTGTACTTCAAACGATCTTCGAATAGAAAATTGCCACATCATCAATTGATAATTGTTGTTGGATTTTACTGGGGAAGATGATTAGTTGGCACGAGAGGAAAATAGGAGGGATTGAAGAAATATTACTTGGCGCAGACAGTACGGTCAGCAGAGATTGTTGAAGACAGTACGTCCACGCGCTAAATCTGAGTGTGGGAATAAAAATCTTGGTGATGTACTACGGATTTATCCAATTGGAATGACAAATGTGTCCTCTATAGATTCGTGAAGGTGGGGTTTTTTTTTTAAAAAAAAAGATATAATTTGATATATATATATATATACACATATGTACACATCGGAATTACATTTTAAAATATTTATATAAGTATCCATTAATCACATGTATGCATACCATTTTTATAAGAAATAAACTATACTGAAATCTGAAATTTTAGACAGAATAAATCTTTTTTAAAACCAATTGTGTCAAGAAATTGGCTAAGTTTTCATTTCCTGTTATCCGAGTAAATTATAAATTATTTTTTTATATTTTAAAAATAAATAATTTTTTTATTTTAAAAATTAATTATTTAGTTTCTTAGGTAGTATTATCATATTTAATTTAATATTATTTTATTAAAAAAATATCATCGTTAGTTTTCATTTCCTAATAAGATTTCTCTTATCAATCTTTTCATATTTTTTACTTATTTTTTAAAATAAAAAAATCAAAATAAATTATAAAATATAAAAATAAAATAATTATTTTAAAAAAATGAATAATTTATTTATTTCTCAAAATTAAAGAGCCTAAATTATAACCTACTCCTTGTTGTTCTTTTTTTAAGCTTCCTAACAGTGTTTTTTTTTCCCCCCAATACACGAAAATGTGATATTCAGTTTAAATGATGTATAGTAACTTTACTTGTTAAACTAGCTCATATCACTTAGCAATTGAAAAATCATTTAGTTAATTATACCTAATTTTTAATCCCCCACAATAACTGTATAATTGGGACAGTTTACATGTAAATCGAAATTAAGTTTCTCTTCGAGCATTTTAAGGGCATATCCTCCATACCGGGGTAGTGTATTTATCTTTTGCGTATTGGCTCCAAGATTTAAACCTTTTTTTTTTTTTTAATTTGAAGATAAGAATATTTATGAATCACTTTGTATGTTAATTAAAATTAAATCTCTTTTCAGTGGATTTTAAGAACACACTCCGCTCTTAGAATTGATGCATTTAGAGAAATTAACATTCCCTTAAAGTTAAAACCTAATCTTGATTTTTGCCTATGTTAATTACCTTAATTTGTAATGTAAATATCTTGTTAAGGTGATTTTACGTTTTTAATGGGTTTTGTGAGAAAAAAAAAAAAACATAAATTGAGAGGAGATTAATGATTTCAAAACTGATCTGTCAAAAAGTTAGTTAATGAACAAAGATGATCATTTCACTTGAGATATTACAGTATTTGTCACTCAAGTCAATTCTTATATAATGCAAACATAACCGAGGGATGTGGTCTGCCAGCCAGGTTATTTTGATTTGGTTAAAACTAAATTTAATTCTCATTGCCTACATACAATACAATTAGTTTTCGGTTGTTTTGGTTTAAAAAATAGTACAATAATATACTAAATTTTAAGTGTATACTAACTCTAGTTTAGTTAAAAGAATTATGAATTTAAATTTGATTAATGTGAAAAACTAAACCAAATATACCCCAACATATAAAAAAATGCAAATATAACCTTTTCTTTAAGCAAAGCATTTTAAAATTTTGTGACGAGATAGTGTCTTCATGTGTTCGAATAACGTGCAGATGGATAGATGGATTCGTTATGAACATTTAGACAGCATATCCCGTAAAATTAAATGTGTGGAGGGTTTTTAAGAATGGATCAAATGATTGTTCAGTATATCGGTTAAAATATAAAAAGTTAGTATTGTATTTTGTAGAAGTAGCGATCAACCAACTAAGCAGAATGAGTGTAAATAATAAGAAGCATGTGAGAAAAAACAAATAGGGCTAGCAATCGACAATTATAATGACAAACATGTGAGGGTCAAAATCTAAATAAATAGAGCTTCACATGATGTTTGATGTATGAGTGAGAGAAGTTCAAGAGAGAGATTTTTGCTAGAAATCAAAAGGTTGACGTCTCCTCATAGTGATATGAAATTAGTATTTATAATAAATTAAAAATGACCTTTGATCACTAAAATCATATCACGTCATCCATATTTGAATGATTAGATTTGAATAGTAGAAAGTTGAGTTTTTCAAATTAAATTACTTCAACTTGCTAGCAAAAGAACAATTTAATCTTATTTTAATATGTCTTACTCGGACCATGCTAAACGAATATTTCTAATATATTTTAAAAACAAACCATGGGCATTAATCCCGTTAAAATATCTATATTTATCATTGCATGATCTAAAACTTTGTATTGAACGAAGTCTATCCTTAGCCTAATTTATTTGTTGTATAGTTTGAATCCATATCAAAAAAAAAAAAAAAAAAAAAAACATAGATTAATACATAATAAAATTAACTAAACTCTTAATTAATTTTTATGTACAAATTAGTCATATACACTGAGGGAAAAAAATAGATGAGAATAGGAGTCGATTAAAATTTTCCTTCTTCTGGTTGTATATCATAAAAAATTAAACAAGCCACGTATGATTAATTAATATTAATAAATTGTTGTTTTTTTCATCCTTTGAAATTTTGAATGTGTCATGGAGAATCCTTGAACCAATAGCCATTCAGTACCATTAAATTAAATACTCCATTGGTCATCTTTGTAAACTTTATTTACACTCCTGCAATCCATTCATTTTCTGCTCAACATGTCGTACATGATTATCTATCCATTTAAACGAAAAAAGAAAAGCCTCAAAACCCAGTCCCATACCTAAATACTCATTCTCAAATGAGTTTCAAATATAATAATTTATGAATACGTGAACAATGTTTTAAATAGTAAATAAATAGTGAAAAATGATTTTATTTTAATTTTATTGATAATAATAATGCTTACCCATAGGTTTAAGTTACAAATTCATTTTAGAACAGACATTAAATTTACCATCAAGTTATTGATTGTATTACAAATATGGTATTTAAACTAGTTTTTATGTCAATTTTACCACATATTTTGATTTCCCTCGACGAGGCGGTGCGACCAAACTTGGACTATGTCATGAGGGTCTCCCCATAAGCTGGGCTTAAGTTACAAATTTGTTTTTTTAATTAACACTCTCACCTATTTTTATATAATAGGTTAAGTTTTCAATATGTTTTTATATCTTAAAACATCTCTATTATGTGTTTTATTATTTGAATTAATTTTCAATATATCTTTTTCGGTCAATTTTCTAGCCAAATCACCTAATGTCACATGACCAGCACATAACTTTTATTTTGACAAAAATATCCCTCGGCACCTTAACATGCTAAATTTCTAATTTGTACTTATATAATTGAATGGATTTCCAATATGTTATTAATGCTAAGAGTCCATTATAGCATTGTTTTTAATTTTTCTAATAATGTGTTGTAAATATTTTGTTAGCTAAAAATATATAAAAATAATTAATACAAGTCGATACGTAACTCGTTCAAAAAATTATCGTTTAACATGTTTTAATATTAAAAACTCCATTATATTATTGTCGTTAAAATAATTCACTTATGTACAATATTGAATAAGTTGATATAATACTTACCAATATATTAAATCATCTCTATAAAAGAAAACATGTGAATCACATGTGGAAAATAAATAATTATGTAATTAAAGAAAACATATAATTAATTGTTTTTAATTGTATGCTTAAGAGACTAAATAACAATTACTTAAATATAATTATTTGTTTTTAAATTACATGCTTAAGAGACTAATTAACAATTACTTAAATATAATTATTTGTTTTTTAATTCTTTAAACAGTTACATATGAACTTCTACTAAATATTTTTATATTTTTTTAATTAACAAAAAATTCATTATAGAAACACACATTATTGGGAAAATTATTAATAATAATATAATGGATTTTTTAGTATTAAAAATAGATTGAAAACTCAATCAATTACATAAATACATATTGAAATCTTAATATGTTAAACTACGGGGGTATTTTCATCTAAGAAAAAATTATTTGCATGTAATGTGATATTTTTTAGTTGGTTTGACAAGAAAAATTGATCAAAATGATAGATTAGAAACCAACTCAAATAACATGGACATAATAAAGATATTTTAGAATATAAAGACAGATTAAAAACTTAATCTATTATATAAAGATATATGACGGTCTTAACTTATTTTTTATGATAAACATCAAATGCCCCACCAAATTATTGAAGTATTGTCAATTTTGTATTTAAATTGTTTTTTATATCTATTTAACCACTAAAATATTTTGATTTTTCAATTAAAGACTTCTATTAGAGTCACTTAACAAAAAATATTAAGCCCTTATAAAATAATGCCATTTTTTGGGGGAAAAAATATAATTTGAATGAAAATATTGATGAAAAAAATTAAAAATGAGTGGAAGTTTTTAATTGAGAACTTCTAAAATTTGAAAATAAATTTGATAAAAAAAATTATTTGATGGTAATATTTAGATTATCTATATAGTTGGGTATTTTTGTTTTCAGACATGCCCTTTCTTTTGTCAATCTATCTTTAATCAATAAAAACAAAAAACCACCCAGAAAAATAATATAGTGCACCCGGACCACCACTTCATTTTAATTTCCTCCAATGTTTGGATTCCAATTTAACTATAAATATCATCCTTTCAGTATTGATATAAGTGAAATACGGATTTTTATTGATATACATAAATATTGAAAACACTATTGGTTTTATTGAGATGTTTTAGTAATCTATCCTATTATAACACTGGGAAAAAAAAAAAAAAGAAAATAGTAAAAAGATTTTTTTTACTCATAAGGTCAAAAGTTGGATTTTTATATTTAAAAAAACTTTTTTTATTTTTGTAGCACTGTATATAAGCTGCTGGTAGGTTTAAAAAGACTGAACATTAAAATCAATTAGAGACTAGACATGATCTAATGTTGATTTAATTCATAAATAATAGATTTAATTTAAATTGATGTAAAAATTGAATTATTTTTATCAAAAATACTTTTTAATTAAATTCATTAAATAATTTAATATAAAAATGATTTAATTAACAAGTATGTTTGATAAAAACAATTTAATACATTTAAAAAAAAATTATATATGTTAGAATCTATAAGTTAAAATAAAAAATTTTAAATTTTGATTTAAATAAAAAATTATTTTAACTAAACCTTTTATTATTTTTTTAGTCAATTTCTTTAAAAAAAAAATTAAATCAATATGCAAAGGTTGTATCAAATTAACCTTTCAATACGCGTAGCTCGATAAATAACACAATGCGTAGCTCGACGCGCCCCTGGTAATTAATGAGTGACTATTGTGAAGGTCCACGTTCTATCCGATGGCCTCCAGCTCCCAGTACCCTAGCATGCAATTTGTATTGTATTATTTTTTAACACGAGAAGACATAGTTTAGGAATTGTGTACTCAATATTTTTTTTTCAAGGAAGGAAATTAAAGTATTAATGATTCTAATTTATTTGATTATTATATAATACAAGATAATTATTTTTATTTTATAGTCCAAAGAACCAACTAGCCTTTTGATGACACACACAACAATTCATTAACTTTTTAAGTAAATTTAGTTAGTCCATCTAGTTTTGAAAAATAAATTAATTACTTCTCTTTGTTTTAAAAACTAACCATTTAATCATTTTTGTCCATTTTGTATCCTTTTTCAATATATTTTTTATTTTAAAAAATAAAAAAGAAAGAAAATAAATAAATATTATGGAAAATTGATAAGAAAAAAAATATTTTTGAGAATAACATAATATTAAATTAAACATGATTGGAATTGATTAAATGATTAGTCTTTGAAAGAAGGATGATTAATTAATTCATTTCTTGAAACTTGAATGATTAATTTATAATTTACTCTTAATTTTTTACTGTTTGAAATGTTTTTCTATTCCATAAAGATCCGTTTTGAACTTGAAAATAAATACTTACCATTTTTAATTACTTTTGTGTTTTATTTGAAAATGATTTTTTTCTTTTCGCTTATGTTATAAGCGGCAATATAAGGATTATCTGAAGATGTAGTATTCACAACAATAGAGGTTGGTTAGTACAATAGTTTTGGGATCCATATATTCTGGTTCAACCTTGATCATGCTAGCTATATCTTTTTGTTATATATAATGATTATCATATCTCAAATTAGAGATATTATATTTTACATAAAAACATATAGTATACAAAGAAGTATATCCTTATTATATTTTTACTGGTGTCGAAGATAAACATAGTTATAAGATTTAGATTGGATCGGGTACGTAGCTTAATCTAAAAACCAACGAACCAAATGCAAGACCCGACTCGGTTGGATCGAAAAGCTTAGGAATAGAACTCACCACATGTCACTTAATAAAATATCGAAAGGAAAAATGTATCCTCAACGTTGAACTCAAAACCCCACGCATGCACGTAGGACTCACATGCCAGCGACCTGCTTGGTGATATCCATGTGGCAATATTGCATTGCCACTTTAGTCACTAATTAATTAAAGAAAACATTTGTAAGCTAAGATTAGATCCCTCCAAACACATGTAGAATTAGGCACATCCAACCACAAGAGCCAAGACCATTAATTCCCTTGTACGTGTTAAGCCATTCCAACAAATAAATAAATATCATAACATTTATGAAGCACAGACATGGGCATGAAATATGAGAATAACACCATACGAATACTACGATATAGAAATTCTTCAAAATTTAGGATAAGGTATGTGAGAGATATGTTAACTTTTTAAATATTTTATACATTATAAAAGAACTAAAAAAAATACTAGAAAACAATATAACTAGTAACAATATAGAATCAATTGAATGCACGAATCTAAGAAATTGTAAATAAAATAAAAAAATCATGTTATTTATATTTGCTCAATAATGAAATAAATTTATACATCTAAAAATCAAACTATATCCCAATAATTATTATGATGATTTTAAAAGAATTGGTGATAATTTCTCTTTTTTCCTCTTTAATTTAATTGTTTCTATGTATATCCCTTTTAATTTGTTATTTGTTGGAAAACTTGATAATTTTTAAATTTAGAAACAATAAATTATAATATTTTTGCTTTTACTTAAAATATTTCTCATATGACTAAGTACAAGGATCAAGCATAGTTGGATGAAGGACCCATATGTAGACGGAATCAAACATAGAAGGTCCCTATTCATCAAATTGGTAGTAGCAAGACTCGATTAACCAATTGACTAAGTACAAGGATGAAGCATGCAATTATACATGAAATTAAATGTATTCAAATCTCAAATTTCGCAGAGTTAAATGAGAAAATTATAAATTAGTCCTTTTACTTTTGATAAACAAATTAATTAGTCTTTATTATTTAAAAAATAATTATTTAGTTCATTGATTTTTTTCAAAAAAAATTCATACACACTCAAGGTTCCAAAGAGAACTAGTTTGCTAAGCTTTGAACTCATAACCTCTTTTAAGATACCATTACCATTAGACTACAAGATCTTTTGTTATTTAGTTCATTGATCAGTATTGATCTTATTTAATTTAATATCATTTTATTTCATAAAAAGTCATATTTTCTTATCAATTTTTTCATATTATTTATATATTAAAATAAAAAATTAAAATAATTTGAATAAAGCAAAAAGGATTAAGTTATAAAAAAATTTAAAAATATAAGAACTAAATAATTTTTGTTTAAATAAAAAAGATTAATTAATTCTTTTTTCAAAACTAAAGGGACTAATTTATAATTTACTCGAGTTAAATTGATAAAAAGAAAAAGAAAAAGAAAGAAAGAAAACTGTAAAGCAGCCAGTCCAATTTATTGAGTCTGTTGCGTCAGTTGACCAAGAATTGCCAAAGAAAAGTAGCCGGGTTGGACATATTGAATTTTTTTTTGTCCTTGTCCTTCTTGATAATTTTTCTCCTTTTAATTTATTTTAAACGTACATTTGTGGAGTGTTTTTCCAGGAAATTGACCTATGTGAAATGGAGAGTTTTAAGTTCTCAGACCCATGCTGCCATGGATCAGCTGAAAAGATAAAAAATTACAATTTACAGTGACTGTAATTAGTAATTGTTTATAAACCTTTAATTTACTTATCCAACATGATCTTCTCTCACACCTAATATAAGTTAAAAAAAAAAAAGAAGAAGGGAGGTTGATATGTATGACCAATAAATATTCACAAAATTACACTATAAGAAATGCATTAAATAGCGATAGAATTTAACGACGGAATCAAGTTCGTTGTCAAATTAAAAAAAAAATAACGATAGCATAACGATTGTTAAATTTAGTGATGGATTAGAGACGGAATAATAACCGCATTTTAGTGACGGACACAAATCCATCACTAAATTTGACGAGTATAATCTTTTCAAGCATTTTAAAGTCGGCTTTATGATGAATTTACTGAAAAAAATAGCAATGGACCTTAATTAATTACAATTCTCTTGCAATTTAACGACGGTAAAATCTATTGTTAAAGGACATATTTTTTGGCAAAATTGGGGCTAAGCTTTTGAAAAACAAAAACCGCCAATGTTGCCATGAATACTAACAAATTAAGACAGATTACCGAATAAGTCCATCGCTAGATGTGGAAAAATGGTTGTCTAGCTTGTTCAAAATTAGGGGTCCATTTAGACACGGATTAACGATAGACTAGAGATGGGATCGTGTTTGTCACAAAGTTTGAACCTTAATTTAAATCCCTTCTTTTTCCTCCTCCCCCATTTTCTTCTCCCTCTCCAAAACCAACGAGCCGCCACCGTCCTCTCACCTCTTCCAAATACCACCAAACTTCACTCCTCAACTCTCAATTGATTCCCACCCACTCCAAGGTTTTTTTCTTCCAAAACACCCTCGTTTTTTCTTCCTTTCTTTTGGTGTAATTTCATCCGAATTAGGTATGTTCTTCTCTTTTTTATTTTCTTAATTAAAGTTAGTAATTTGTTATAATTGTTAAGTTAATTTAAGTTTAATTACTGAGTTTATGATTATGTATATATTTAATTATTAATTTATTTGTTAAATTGTTATTTTTTGTTAATTGTTAGGTTAACTCATTGATTAATTTGTTAAATTTGATTAATTGTTAGGTTAATTAGTTAATTAATTATAATTTCAATTAAATCGTAATTATTTTTCATTAATTAAGTTAATTTTATTTAAATTTAGTTAATTAATTAGGTCAATTATCTGTTTATTTGGTTGAATTAGACTAAATTTGTTAATTAATTATAATTTTGTTAGTTAATTGTTTACTTAGTCTTAATTAAGTTAATTTAATTTTTAATTTAAATTTAATTTAATTTAATTACAATTAGAATTAATTAATTAATTAGGTTAATTATGTTTAATTAGTTGAATTATAAGTTTATTTATATTAGAAATTATTAATTAATTGTTAATTTGGTTCAAATTAGAATTGATTAATTTAGTTTGATTTTTAATTAATTAATTAAGTAGGTTAATTTTTTTAATAGGTTGAATTAAAACTTTATTTATATTTGAAATTGTTAATTAATTGTTATGTACAATTTAATTTGGTTAGAATTAAAATTAATTAAGTTAATTTCAATTTTAATTAAGTAATTAATTAGGTTATTTTTGTTTAATAGGTTGAATTAAAACTTTATTTATACTAAACATTGTTAAATTATGTTAGATTTAGAATTAATTAGTTTAATTATTTCGTATATAATTATTAAAGTGTACGAGAGATATGTCGTAGTATATTGAACCCGAAAAGTCGAAAACCCTCGGAAATTAAGAAGATATAAGGTTGGTTCAATGCTTTGCAATAAAGCTAGGAGGACGAGTTTGGAATTTAATTTTGATGGAGTATCTAAGACAATTGTTAGTCTTGATGTGTGCAAATCAATTTTTGGTTGATTTAATTTATTGTTTATGTGATCATTTGAAGTATTTGTTAATTAGGAAAGGTGTAATTTACATAGGAAACTATGTCAAAATTTTATTAGATATTTAAAAAAATTATTAATTAAACAATTTTGTGTTGCCTCGGAAATACAAAAACAAAATAATAAGGTCAAATCATGAATGATTGTATGTTAGGTGTATAGATGGGCATTTAACGGATGATTTTGTAAATGAGGTTGAAGAATTTCTTGTCACTCATCTTGAATGTATGGACGGAAGAAAGTTAAGGGGTCATTACAATCATCGTAAATATCGAAACTGAATTTTTAAAGAAGTTCACATGGTTAAATTCCATTTAGTAAGATACGGTTTTGTGTTTGGATATTATGACTAGATACATTATAGGGAAGTTGACTCAAGAAGTTATGTTGTGTCGAAAAATTTTTATGAGGGCAAAGGGAGTTGTAGTTAACCCCCCATTCCATATGAAACAATGATGATGGATATAGTTGGTGTATCATTTAATCGATTCGAGTACAAATGAGGTATCAAATCCCGATGCTTGAGCTTTTGATGATATGTTAAATGCAACAAATAAGGAGATTTGGCTTGGTTATGATAATCACTCTTAGTTGTCTACAATTGCTCGATTGTTAAACCTTAAGTCGAAACATCATTTTACGAAAGGTTTTATATGTGGACTAATGAAAGAGTTGATGTTGGTTATAAGCTGTATGATAAAGGATTGTTACTGACATCAAAAAGTTGGTGAAGGGGATGTGTTTCCCAATAGGAAAGGTTCACTATTGTAACAAAGGTTGCATGATTTATTAAGGTGAAGACTGTGAATTAACCATGTGTAAGTTCTATGAACATCCTCGATATTGAAGTCCGATATGGGGATTGATAAGAGAAAAACGTGTTTCAATCAAAAAAATTATCATTTTTTGCTTACCCCACATTTGCAAAGATTGTATGCATAGAATTCCACGACTAAGCACATGACATGGCATGCTAAACATGAGGTTAGAGATGAAGAAGTCATGTGTCATTGTTTTGACTCTATTACATAATGGTGTTTTGATCAAATACATCCTTCTTTTACATTAGAAAGAAGAAATATCATATTAGGAGTTTACATTGATGAGTTTCAACATTTCGATCAATCCGATGCTTAATATTTTTCTTGTCGGTAATTGTGATGCCTTACAATTTGCCACCATGTATGTGTATGAAAGAAAAATACATATTCTTAATAGTTATTATTCCGAGACCATTAAACCCAAAGAATAATTTAGATGTGCTCTTACGACCTTTGATTGCGGAGTTACTTCAATTGTAGGAAGAGGTTGTGATGATCTATGATGTTTATTGAAAGCAAAAATTTTTATTATGCACCATCGTGATGTGGACAATCGGTGACTTCCTTGCATATATATTCAATGTCATTTGATTCGAGTACTTGTAAGGAAATTTGCATGTACTTATTACATGGAGAATTCGATGTTTTTTTTGCTTTCGAATGAAAGAAAGACCTCCTCATTAGATAATCATCGAAGCTCCTCCCCAAAGATCATCAATTTAGAAGGAACAAGAAGTCATTTACTAAAAGTAAGTTGTCAATGGTAACCCTCCTCCCATTCGGTCCGGAGCGAAGATTTTTCAGCAAATAACGGGTTGGGGGTTGATGAAGATGACATAAGAAGGTGTAGATCGGTATAACGGTAGAATATAGCAAATGTCTACTCGGAAAAAAAACAAAGTATATTACGGGATTTGCCATCCTAAGTACAAATCTCATTCGACACAATCGGGATGTTATGCATATTGAAAAAATATATTCGATAATGTGTTTAACATAATAATGAATATGCTAAACAAAACTAAAGACAATGCAAATTTCGGAGCATGATTTGAAATTTTTTTATCGGAGGCCGAATTAGCAAGGGATGAAGCTTCGGAAAATATCATAAAGCAACAAGTTACATGTTTGACAAAGAACAGAAAAAAGTATTGTTTGAATGGATCAACTAACTCGGATTTCTAGATGGATATGTTTTCAACATGGATAAGTGTGTAGATATGAATAAACTCGGTTTTAATGTTTAAATATAAAATTTTATAATAGAAATTTCAAGTTTTAATCATTAAGATGCTTCTTTGCAATGATTTGAATCTAAATTTTGATTAACGTAGGAGTTTATTCAATATATATGGAGAAAGATAGCATAGTATAAATAAAAAAAATCTTAATTTAAAAGGTTTAAATTCAAATGATCTGTCTGTCTTTTTCTTTTTGTAAAAGCAATAAAATAATAATAGTAATAAATTTGAGACCTCTCGAAGAAAAGAAGAATAAATAAATATTTGTTAAACTAAAATTCATTGGCGTTGACGATTCAAATAACCCATTTTATTGAGTTGTTCTTATGGTTTTCAATTATAATCTATAGATACATGTTGAAAATTATTTTTTTTTAAGATCCACCGTAAAAAAAATATTCGTGGCAACTTACTTGTCGGTCAGAATTAAAATTATTTTTCTAAAGATTTTAAAAGAGTACCATTTATATCCACCTAGTATATTCAAAGAACAAATAAAATGAAAATCACAGAATTTCAAAATTTAAGAATTTATTGATTGAGCTTCTAGGCCATAGCAACAGAATGGACTAAAGCCACTTAACGACAATATATAATATGTAGTAAAATGCACTCCAGCCAGCCCCAACGTTTAAGCATGTCTAAAATACCAAATAACAGCTTGAGAGATACGGTGCAGGCCCCAGATTTAGCAGACTTAACTGTTTCTAGCTTGTTGGTAGCTTACGAGAAATTATTGGGTGAATTTTTGGTGTAAGCTAAGCATGAGATCAATTAATTGGTTCTTCCATTTTTCCCAAATATGACGTTTCTTCTTCTCAAAAAAAAAAAAAAAAAAAAGTTTTTCAGCATGGGCTTCGAAATGGCACGTAGCCCAGGCACTACATATCGCCGAGTAATAGCATAAGATAGCTGTTCTGGGCTACTAAAAGTCGAAAAGTCCTCACCATCCATATATGGTATGAAATGGTAAACTTAGACCATCCAACATCATTTAAGAAAGGCCATCACAGAGCAAAATAGGTTCCTCCATGTTAAAATGCTTCTAAAATGGCCAATAGCTATGGCGTAGACTTGTCGTAAGCATGAAAAATATTAAAATGATTGATTTGATTACGCAGATTTTGAAGAGGTTTAGCAATCAATGGGTGCCAGGTTTTGGGGCTTTCATGTGGGCAAAAAACCAAACAAGTTATGTGCATACACCTAATTTATACGATTCCATTGTTTATATATTAGGAGAGTGCATGGAGTTTGGTATTATGTGGGAATTTTTGAGGAAATGAAAGGGTTGGATGGGTATGTTTCATTAGTTACTATGATCAAGGTAACGAGACTGACTTGCCAGGGATGGCAAGGGTAGAGATTAAAATCATGAAACGTACTTTTATCTTTCGTGTTTTCTTAATATTTATTTATTTATTTATCACATCTTTTGTTCTTGAAATTTTTTTAATGTGATTTCTATCAATTTTTTAATATTTTTTTAATCAATTTTTTAAATTAAAAATAACATGTGATAAAAATATATCACGTCATGGCCTGCTACGTTAATTGATCATGAGAAAAAAAAACTAAAAAGAAACTCTCTATTTTATCTGACACCGCAATTCTTCATTTTCTTCTCGCGCGGATTGGAAAAACACAAAATATTCTTTCCCATAATTGCAATCCTTTTACCAGCCCAAAAAATATGATGTTGTGTTCGTGTAACCCATCACCCATGATTGAAGTGTTATTTTTCTAATTTTACCTATTCCTTAGAAACTCTTAAAATATCACCCGTTATAGAAAACAAAACACACGTTTTCTTGGTAAAATTTATTTAATTTGAATAGAGACGGTTGATTTGATTTAAACTATGGACATAAACAGAACAAAAGAAATGCAACTCACAGTTAACAAAAACATATAAACTTAATTATTGCAATTTATACCTGAGACTCAATGATATAGACGTTTTGGAAGAAGAGAAAAATGGTTTAGGCTAAAAAATTCTCTAGCACTACGCACCTTTCTGCTCAAGACCTATCAATATCTCTTGCATGGACCATACAAGACGTGCTTGAAAATCAGGAGGAGAATTTTAGTTTTCTTTTCACATGGGCAAGTAATGGAAAATCAACATCTTCAAGAGGCCAAAATCAAATATTTTTAAGAGAGAAAAATAAGTTTAAAAAAATAATAAAAAAAAATTCTTGAATTTCTCTGGCTCTTTGGTGGAGACCAACATAAGTAGTCAACCAGGCTCATTGGAGACTCATGTAACTTCACCAAAACGCTACCGTTTTTACTCCACTTCCTTAATTCCCACGTTGAGTCAGACGGATCCTCACCTGAAAACTCAAAACAAGAAGAAAGAAAAAGCTTGGAACTTCATAGTCCATTTTCAATACCAGTCCATTAATACAGAACTCAGCAATGGAAGATAACAAAAACCCACCAATTAAAGAAGGTAAAGAAGAAAATTAATTAAATATCTCTCTGTTGTTACAACTAATCTCAGCATTCTATTTCTTCTCAAAAACCTAGAAATAATATCACCATTTTCTCCCTTACTCATTCCTTTCTCTTCTCATTCTCTTTTGAAACCACAAATCTAAAAACAAATGGCAATATCTCCACGGTTGTTGGGCTTTGCTCTGATTTGAATTCCAATTTGTCCACTGCTTATCATTAGCGAAACCACAACGGTAACGCTAACTGCAAGGCGTAATCCGCTTCTTAGCTAAGTATATTTTATTTATTCAGTGTGTGTATTTTGGGTAGTGTTTAAATTGGGTCAGTGTTTTTGTTGAGGGTAGAATTTTTGTTTAGGGTTTGTTTGTTTGATTTGTTTTGCATCTTGGATTGATCTATAAATTGGAGAAAAAAACCTCTTGAACTTTTAGTTAAATCCCGACTTAATATTGATATATATATATATATATTATTTTGGTTCTCTCGAACTACCAAGTCAAGGCAATTTGATTGTCTCCATTGGGCTTCCGTTAATTTACCATGATAAGTGACACGTGACATACATGTACATAGCTATTTCCCTTCAATCTTCTTCTCGAAAAAGCCATTCTCTCTTTGACTGGACTGATTTTTTTAGGGAAAAAATTGAATCAAAGCCGGATGACAACAGTCCATTTTTTAACCTCGTAATTCAAAAGATCAAAATCAAAAAATCAACGTCAGAAATTAAATGGAACTAAAAATTCAGGGAGTCTTTTTGACCGATTAGCCTTGTACGAAACCAACTGTAGTTGGAAAATTAATTTAATCCTAAACCTACATATCCATTGTTAATTGAGTCCCAAACTTATAAATTTTATCAATTAAATCCCAAATGTTTCGTACATTTCTCACTTGTCTTTTTGTTAATTTATGTAAAATCAAGAGATATTATTCAATGACGGCACAAGACGACTGAGACTGTATTTGATTTCTGTTTTAAATGGGAAAAGGGATAAAGAAATGATCACGGAAAAGATTTCTTCTTATCACATTCAGAGCACAGCTTGTACTCGCATATTGTACATTCAAAAAGTTTTTAAAAAATTGGAAATTACTTTGAGCTATGTAGGTATCAGTGCTAAAATCTGATTCCTAATAATTCCCATGCATTTCTGTATCTCTGCATAAATGGGAAGGTTCGTTGAACAACATGGCTTCAAACTTGTAACCGCAGAATCCAGTACTTGGGCAACGTCACTCGGTGGAAATTGTCGTTCCGTACATTTCTGCAATTGTTGTCTTAAGACAATTAGGGATTCTTCTCAACAATCAATGGAAAGGACAAATTATATTTTATTGGATATTATACATCCCAACACTTACCTGAATCATTAGTAAAGTAGCTACACATTGTGATATGAGCTCTGAAGGGATTTTTACTTCAATTTGGTTGGACAAATTTTTCAACTTCGCATCAGATGCATGGTTGATTGCCCCTGGATTTGGAACACAGGAACTTAAATGATCCTGAGAAGCCAGAGTGCCTTGAACTGAGCTTGCAGGGATAGAAGATCTAATAGCTGGCACGCTTAAATCATCTGCTGAAAGCTTATTATTTACAAAATCTATAGCATCCTCAATACTCTCAATGCTGCTTTCTTCCTTTTTTAAGGATGACATTGCCTGAAACAATTTCAGTCAGAAAAAAAAATGCAGTAGAAATATTTTACCAAAATGAAGGGCTCACCATCTAAGGTTGTGCTAATAGCCCTAATTTTTATTTGTGACAACGTATGAGAATAGATTTCCACTTACACAGAAATTAAAATGGTGGAAGATCAATATTGGTCTATAAAATAGCAAAGTTGGGGACAGTTGCGGAAGAATTGTTCTCATACCTTTATAGCTGCATCAACCATTGTCTGGGCTTTTGTTCTTGAACTTTCAAAAATTTCCACCACATGAGATCCAGGTTCTTGAGTATCATCTGCAGAAGAATCAAAGGAGCTGCTGTTGCAAGCTGCCTCGTCTATGTTGGCTATGGGCTTCAACAACTCATGTGGGATGTTCCCTTGGTATGTGTTACGTTGCCTCAAGTAAAAGATAGCAGAAGAAACCTGCATGAAGAAGTGATCAAGTCAAGCAATTGGTGCTACTGCATGATAAAGGAAAGGAAACGAATCTGAAAATCATCTATGGGTTACTCATACCTGCTCATTGACTTCATTTAACTGTAGGAGTACTGCAGCATAGTGCTTCTTAAAAGCTTCTGAATGCTTGAGAGAGTTTTCTCCATGTTTTTGGCTTTCCAACACATCATTCATGTGCTTCAACTCAGACACCACAGCCTCCTGCACATTCAAATATCCATAAGCTTCTTTTTTCAAACACCAGGGTCATCAGAATATTTCAAAAGGTTTTCTATATAAGTGACAAAAGCAATTGCCATGTGAAACATAAATAGTAAAATTTCTACATTAACCATTAAGCAATGCAAAGCTAATTTAAATGATACTCAAAGTACATAAACAGTGTAGTTATCCAAATAATAGTCTATAACACTAAATGTGAAGTCGAGAGCACATATATGTAGAGATCATCACAGGTGATGCATCACCCCTTTCTTGAGAAAACCTGTTGAATATACCAAAGTCACAGCATCCAAAGTTTGGGTGTAATTAGCAATAAGAAATACAACCTTTTTGTCAAGAGCTCGAGTTAATTCAGAAAGAGCATGGATATCGGCTTCCTTAGCTTGGATCTGTACACAAAAAGAAGGCTGGGCATTTGTTGCTTGCTGGGTATTAACTGTTTCACCTTCAATGTTGACTTGTGTATTAGAACCTACTAAACACCCCTGGTAAAGGCAATTTCTTCTTAGATAAATGAATAGTGCTAGAATATTTAAACAAAATGCTTAGCAACATAAATGCAACCATAAGGCTGTGGAGTCGTTCATGATTTGATATAGCAGAACTTCAATAAAGACCGGACAATTAAAAATCCAATGGAGACTATATAGTTCAACCATTACTAGAAGACAAGATTAAGTAACGTTCATTAATCTCATTTCAAGACAGGAATAAATAGTACTCTGACAACTAGAGTCATTAATCTAGTTGAAACAGAAAATCTCCCTACAAAGTGCCATGTTAGATAGTAAATGCGGTATCTGACATAAATAACTCTTAAGAGCATCCATCTGAGGGGCTTAGTTGCACATTTAAACCCCAAAGCATAAGTTACTGAGTGCAGAGAACCATTGACAACATAACCCCACACCACTTACTCTTAGGCAAGTACACAGGAATTTGACAGAGACAAGCAAGAGGTCGCTTGTCTCAGTAGTGAACTGTGCCCTTCATGAATTATAGAGCCAATGAAAACCACACTGCAGTTTAAATGCAAAATGATTCTCTCCATTTTTCAGCACAAAACAGATGTTAATTGCTTAGCACATGTAATGTTTCGAATGACTTCAAAATTGACCAAATGCAATAAATAAATTGCTAAATTTAAATTCCAAGGACTGCTCACCTTTTGCTCCTGTAATAAATCACTGCAATTATAAGTAGATGGGGAAGTATATGGAAGAACACTGGCATCCTCAAGATTCTCACATGGGGAAAAATTGAATCCTTCCATCTTCTTCTCTGCTGGTTGCCCATTGATTTTGAGCTCATTTAAGTTCTTGATGTATCTATTCAAAGCAATATTGTGCCCCATCATAGATGCAGGCATATTTTCCAATGGATTCAAAGGCATGCAATCGACATCCTGTAGTAACAAAGGATACATGAAACAGGATAATTATTCTGATTGAATTGCTGAAATAAGATAAAAAGGACAACTGGCTCTTGAATGCAAAACAAAGGGGTTTGAATACGAGATCTTTGCAGCATGCACTAAAGTCACATTTATTTTTTCCTTGAGACAGACGCATAAAGTAAAGTCACTACATATGTTGACCCTAACATTTTCGAGGACAAAAACACCAACTTACTGGAACAGTTTTAAGCATCCGGAATACACACAACCAGCTTAATATTCAGGTATCTAAGTCACTAACATGTGAAGGTGATGTTTCAAGTATAATAGGCTGTTGTGTAGAAGTGCATTAAAACTTACATGCAGTCTGTCCTGTTCACTAGAGATGGTGAGTTATCTCCTTGCAGATTTAGACACAAAGTGGAAAAAAACAGTTTTTAGTGTTCGTTTAGCTTGGCTAATTTTTCTGTATTTTGCAATTAGTTTCTAAGTTTGTGAATTGTAAGAGGGGGGGGGGGACTTTGAACTTTAGTTGGAAAAATAGATTCAACGTCCTTAGTTTGTACACTATCGCAGCTAATTACTTATATTTAGATCATATTCACCATAACTGCAAGACAAACTGACCACAATCTAGTTAACCATGTGCAATATCAATACAGAAATTCAATTACCAAACGAAAATGTCTTAATTTCATAAAACAATTCAACAAAGACAACTGACTTACCATGACAAATTCAACCCCTAGTTCAGGTCGGTCAAACTGTACACGGAACCGACTATGATCAACAGTTAATACACTTCCATCATGAATCTCACTTGTCTTTGGATGAAGAGCAACAATGCGTTGACCGACTGATAAAGGTCGGGCTAAATCAGTTGGTAGTCCATCCCTAGTACCAGCACGAAGTTGCGCATAGTGTTCTCTAACAGATTCTCGATATTGGTTAAGCTTCTCTTTTTCTTCCTTCAAAAATTGCTCTGAAAATCTTCTTGGTTTGCCAAGGGAACTGCATTGATGAGATAAGCCAAATCAAATTATCTAGCTAAGACATCAAGGAAATGTCAAAGAATAGTATTGAATGCACATATAAGATAAAATGGGAAGCCACAGACCTCCGAATGACACCCCATTCAACACGAGTTAGTCTTGGGATATGACCCAATCCAACATGCTCTAGGTATTCAACAAACTCCCTTTTAGCAAACCATGGATAATCTATTGCACTATAGAACCACTCAAAAACACACCATCTTCGCACTAGATACCGGGAAAGGCAGTTAGAAAGCTTTCCCTGCAATTATGAAATATACATATGACAAAGATAACTAGGGATTCAGGAAATTAACTTCATGGAATGTAAGTGATTGGCACAGATCTAACCTTAAGACTAAGTACTCTGTCCTGGAATGAAGGAATAACAGTATTACATTGGCTATTTACAATATTCTCTGAAGACTTGGAATCTCTCTTAACCAACAGCTTTGGAGTGTTTAGCTTACGGCTACTCCTCACTTTAGTAGGCAAGTTGAATGGGTTGGCAGATAAAACCTGTATGGTAGTTGGAGCAGAATCATTCGATTCCCTTCCATGATGATCACTTGAAAAGGTACGTTCTGTAGGTTTCAGCAATTTCCCTTGTTTCAAGTATGCGGCATACTGCAAGCATTTTCCTTTACTCACAAAGTTATTATCATCTTCTGTAACCTATAACCAAGCACTGAGATATAAGAATAACATTATTTAATAGGACCTAGAAATAAAAGTTTCAATGACCAAAGAACATCAATAGTGAACTTTCCTAAGTAACATCAAGCAGATAAAGTTACAAAACGCAACTAATATGACAGTGGATGACAAACCCAGAGATGAAATGATATTTGTAATCCAAAATCAGTATTTATACACAAACCAAAAAAAAAAAAAAAAAAGGAAGAAAAGAAAAGAAAAGAAAAGGACGGTCTGCCCCTAAAAAAGTTCCAAAAAGATACAATGCCCTACAAGATGCATTATAAACATATGATGGCTGTGAGATACAGCATGAATGTAATGATAACTATAGGGAGCTATAAAACAACCTAAAACCAGTACTCACTTTTCCAATTACCCATTGCAAAACAGAAAATTAATAATTGACAGCCACTAAAAGAAGATTTTTTGAAAAGGTGATGATTATCTAATCTAATGGATTTCCTACATAAAAGTAGGAAGGCAAGAAAGAAGATAAGTGCATAAAATGCAATTCTTAGTCATCTCACAAATAGTTTTAGTATGACCTAATAGAACTAAGTTCCGTAATTTAAGACACATGCTGGGCATTATTTCAATTACTGAAACAATTAAGAATATAACAATATGGCAGCAGCAAGAAATATAACAATACTGTCTATGAGAATAATCCAAATAACTACAGTACAATTATAATAATATATGTTGTGATAGAATTTCAGAACAGAAAGGTTCCAGATCCATAAATTACAAAATGCACATCCCCTGTATATGGGCTGAATTTGTCACAGGAACATTATGTTAGAGACTAAAGCAGCTGCCAGAAGCATAATGTTATTATGCAATAAATGTATCCGTAGCAAGAACATTATTTTAAAGAGTAACATAGCTACCAGATGCATAATGTTATTATCCAGTAAATGTAATCCATAGCATGAAACATTGAAATAACTGAAAGCAGTTCCTGATTAAGATCGAAAAGAACTACATACCTCAACCTTTTGAGATTCACCCAGATGAGAATCAGCATGCTCTTCATTTTCCAAAATCTGCAAGTTGTAAGCAACTTGCAGATTCGTCAGAATAAACTCAAAGTATGAAGAACCTAGCAAGTATAGAGGGAAAAAAAAATAGTATCAGCTATGGTTACATAAATCCTTACTTTTGATGGCGAAGGCTTTTGTCTTCTTTTCCGCATCACAGGACTAATCTGATGGGCTGCTTCCTTTGCTTCTGGAATAGAAGTAACATTATGAGTGAAAACTTTTCCCTGTTTATTGTTCTTGAATGAGTTAGGTTTTACACCAGGAGAAGAACGATTCCCTTTCAGTTTAGACTTGGCAACAATTCTGGTCTTTTCTTCAACATGCGCAGATGACCCTGACACATGATAACAAAAAGTTATATTGGAAATTCCCCAAAAATAGAATATGACATAGAATGTAATCCTGTACATTCAACATCAACAAGGAAAATAAATAAAGATTTCTAAGAGCTTAAGAATTTGTAATAATGTTTGTTTTCACGTTATTACAGTCTGGGAGATTGTGTTCATTAAAGCTCCCTCTCTCACATTGATTTGGAGGCAAATGACTTACTACAAGAGGGTCCGACATGAATGTGAGAGGATGAGCACCTTGCCATCACAAAATAATCAACAAGTTTTGTCATTGGCAAGTTTAAATGGTTGATTTTTAGTGAGCAAATAATCTTATCCATGATCTTGAAAATCATGTTTGCATTGTCACCACATTTTCTAATGCCAGCAAAGAGAAAACAATAAAGGAAATGCATAGAAAATTAAATATCTAAGCAAAAAGGCCTTGTCAAAATCACCGAAAAGTTGTTTCTGAAGATTTTCATTAGCTTCTGATTGGAAAAAAAAAAAAAAAAAAAAAAAAAATCACAAAGCATAAAAAAAGTACCCCTAAAAAAAGATTTGTAAATTTGAATAAAAATGTATAAATCAATGGCAAACATGTTTATTCTCAGATTGTGCCATTAACTGCTCTGTCAGCACATAAGCTTACAAATCAGACTGATTACTGCCTTTATTATTGATCCATATCGGGCAGATAGTGCAGGAGTAAACCAGCAAAGCATCCTGCTATCTTAGATGACAAAATCCGTGTTGTTTCCCAAAGTGTTGCGACTATTGCTTTGGGCTTATACTAAAATAACTTTATTGACGTAAATTTTCAGCAATCTAACAACTAATATCACATAGGACCATTAAAACTGTAAATCAATCATAAGATATGATCATCCAATTAAATTCCTTGTCCTTGTTCCAAGTAAATTCAACAAAATAGTATTAGCTAGCCTTCAATATGTCAGTATGTAATAATTGCATGTAGCAACATCAAACTAACTTCAAAATAGATCCAAGTTTCATGTGTAGTGAAGAATGTGCACCTTAAAGGGAAAAAGATTAGAAAATAAAAGCAGCTGCCTAGGAAGAACCAGGAGCATCTGTTTCACTGACAAGCTTCACATGAAAACAATAAAATAGCTTATGCAAAACATATTTGTGTCTTACCAGTGTCAACAGGTGTTTCTGGCAACCTCAAGGATAGATCAGCCAGTGCTTCTAAGGCATCAAAGTCCACGTCTTGAACTACACAGAGAATTCAAGAAAAATGATGGCAGGTATAACATGATTTGACAGAAAGGAAAGTGGTAGGTCAACATTGAAGCTCATAAAAGTAGAGAGGAAAAAAGAAAAAAGAAAATAGATCATCATAAATTTAAGCAATTGCTTAGAACAGAGACAGAGTGACCATGCCTCCCCACCCACTAAATTTCTTTCTTAACACTCTTTTCAAGGATTTTTGTTGTTTAATATTTCTAGTTCCTTCAGGGTTTCCTATTATTCTGAACATATGACACCACTCCGTATTTTAGATGTTCCAAATTTTTATGTCTTCATTAAGATGTCGTTTATTACACCCAAAAGGATAAAATGATAAGTTCTACAGGAATTGAATTTAATGGTGATAAGATAAAGGTCATTTTGATTCAGTTTCACATTCCCAATTAAACATTAAGTGTGTCCCAGTACATACTGGAAATAACATGCCAAACATTTAGTTTAGCAAAATTGATGTAACATTTGCTATAATCCTCAGAAAAATAGTAATAGCCCCATTAAGTCAAAATCATATCCAATTAGAGTGGATCTTATGCATGTAACGAGGAAAAATGAAAAGGAAGCAAGTGCAGAACATCTCATTGACTTCTATAGAAAAGCAATTAAAGCCTGAGATTATTTTCTTTTTCCTATTTTTCTGCAGTGGGAGGGTTCAACAAATGCCTTTTTCTTTTCTTTCCGGTAGTAATTGATGCAAAACTTGGTTGGTCAAAGACAGTTATAGTTAGAAACAATTACGCTCTTGTGCAGATATCTGCTGAAGTAAAACAAAAAATTTTGTGATTGAAATAGAATTATAATTAAGCAGATGGCCATAAGTTTCTTAAAGCATGCAAGATATGGAGAACGGATGCTTTGAGATTCATTATAATCTTACGACACTATTGCTTTCAATATGAGAGCATACAAAATGATAAATTTGGCATTGGCACCATCTGTGGCTTGAACCCATATAATATTACAGCCAAAAGGAGAAATTTTCTTCTTAGATCCATTTGCAATAGCTTCCAGAATATAAAAAATATGTTGTTATACAATCTTCGAAAAATGTGATTAGGAACAATGACAAAAATATGCTACTGCAGATTAAAATCTTCTGAATGAAAATGTAATAATAACAATAAAGCTTCCATCAGCTCAACCCAATAAAGACTACAAAAAGTCATACAGCTGATGCTAATGGAAATTAATGAATAAACAGCTAAATTGCACAACCATGAGATATCCAAAGAAAGAAACATTAAAAACTGCCAGAATCGGCATTTGCAAGGAAATTAAAGCATTCCTAAACATGACAGAGGGAAAGAAGAACAGATAGAGGACAGGGGAACTTGGGTTAAATAAAATAACTACCATACCTTCTCCAAACAGAACCTTCTTACTTCTCTTTCTTGAACCCTTGGAGGACCTCACAAGTTTTGTATCCGCAACCTCCATTTCAAATTTTTCTTCAACAGCATCCAGTTTCTGTCCTTCCTCTGTCCCACTGCAGGCTTCTCTCACATCATCCAAATGAATGTCTAAATTTTCTTCTACTTCCAGTGGCCTCCTTCCATGGTATCTCTTCCCCTTCCAAAAGCTTTCATCTCTTGCATAATATCTAATGTCAGCATCTGTGCTGCCTAAACTTAATTCACAACCCACCTCATCCATTTCACTACCACGACACTTGGCACCCATCATCTCTGATTCAGCATGCTGAATACCACAATCAATCAATTAAAAAATTCTATAGCAATCAGAAAACATAATAGAAGTCACCAAATATATGAAATACCATTCGTTCATCATGTTGAGCAGGTGAGGGTGTCTTTGTTTTTCTCTTTGGAGTTTGAGAAACCTGGGGAGAGCCACCTCTTTGGGAAGCCTCAGTCAAGGCCAACGCTATCTCATGAGCAACATCATCATCAACAGCATCAGCCTTTACTTTCAAAGCTTGCCGAATTGGTGAAACATTCTTCTCACTGTCTCTATCATGGGAATATGTAACAGGCACACGAGGAGTCCTTTTCCCAACAGCCCAAGGCTTGCTTCCTAAAAATAAAATAAAAAATCCAAAGGAATGGAAAAAAGGAACCCTACACTTTCATAATGGAATGTTTTTCTCCTTGGATGTGGGTGTGTGTGTGTGTGTGTCTCGGGGAGAAGCAATGTATACGCAAGCACACAAGAGAATAAACTAAAGTGTAAAGAAAAGGAACACATATATTGCCACCAATTTCAAGCATGGAAAACAATAATACAATGTCATAAGCATCACCTCAGAAAAAGAAAAGAAAGAGCAGTGTCTACATATATAGTAATCTACTAAACACATGCATGCATAAAAAACAGGAGGACTGGAGGGAGAGATCTTTCTACCAGACCGCCTCTTCTTTAACAATGACAAGCAGCCATAATTTGATGCAGTTGGCTGCGACTGTAGAAGATCTGGAATTGGTGGTGCATCTGATCCTTTGGTTACCCGAGCACGCTTCTGAGATTTTCGAGAGGGTACTGTGCCCCCATTGCTTTCTAATTCACTGTCACTCTCTCCCTGTCCATGAGCATCAGCTTCCAAATCATAATAGATAAAAATAGCACATGTAGAAAGAAATTTACCTCATTGGCTCACTATATATATCAATGAACTTAAACGAAGAGACAATCACCAATACCCAAAGAAAAAACTTAAAAGCACCCTTATTATGAATCAGCTATATCATATGATTGAGACATAATAAAGAACTTCAAATATTTATATGCACCAAAAATACTCCATTTTGTATGTAGAAGCATTAACATATGCCTCGACTTCTATTCAATTCATTATTTTTCATTTCTTGTGTATCCATCAATATTGCCTCATTGAACTAGCAGTTCTAACTTATGTTAGCCAAGTGATTGACCTGTGAAAAGAATCAGCGCATTTAGAGAAACAGATAGGGGAGGAGAAGAATCACTGTTATGTTATAAAGCTCATGGATTGCAACAAGTTAGATTGGCTTCAAGTCACCAATTTGCTCTTCCAGAACTTTGGATAGAATAAAGTGGCAACCAATTTTGAGTATTACCCAAAAGAACACTCCAGAATTAAGATGCATATGGGATTCTACAAAACCGTCCAAATCTTACCAGGTTAGAGTAGTGATCTGTCATCATTGCAATTAGTCCAGCAGCAGAAGCAAAGCCCTTTGGAAGAGACAAGTAAGCCTGAAAAGACAGCACATATCTATTACCAACTTCAACAAACGAAAGCCATGCAAGAAAAAGATGAAAATCATTGTTATAAAGAAGGTGAAATAAAATCACATCAATGTAACAGCACAAAAGTGATCAAACAAATTTCCTGCCATAAACATCTAGAAGGTTTTCAAATCAAGATCGAATATTTGTTGGATATTGAATTCAACACTTACCTTATTCATAGTATAAAGAGCTTCTACCATTTCCACAGATCGGTTCCGCACCACAGCCGCTACCTATAAGCCCCAAGGCGGGGGAACAAGGCAAAATAAAATAAGAACATGGTAAGGTAATGATACAATGATCAGTATCAATAGGAGGCTTGATCCCAAAATACATTATGTCAGATCACTTGTTCCCACAACCTACTGAAACTCGAGAAATATTACTTTCCATGTCATACACACCACAAAATAAAGCTTAATGTACAGCACAACATTTAACTATTGCAACCTAAATATAGTAAAAATAATATGCCACCATAATTGAAAAGCAAACAAATTTTAGCAGGCAGGTGCTGCTATGCACTAGCTAACCTTCTCCCAATCTTTCCCGTGTTTCCGATATGCCTTATAGAACCGGTCTAGTTCTTCCTTACCCCATTGTGGCCCTAACATTTCAGACAACTTCCTCTTCTGCAAATAAACACAATATACTATCTGGTCACTGATTCAAATTAAGTACCTTAATTTATAACATCACTTAATTAAAGCATATATAAGATAATAATCCACTAACAAGCACCATTATAATAATAATAATAAACATAATAATGTGAATCCTCTAAATTAAACAAAAAAAGAGCGAAAAACTCACCCGCGGCTTGCTCTTATTAGCAATTTCTGCTGCATTTTTGTTAGATGTGACTTCATTGATGTTTGAATACCGCTTATTTACACTTCTTTTTCTCGAGGGAGCCATCACTCACTTGTTCAATTTCTTAAAATACCTAAAAAAAAACACACAAAAAAACAAGAGAATTTAACGCGGCGATTCTCAATTTCTCAATGTCACTTCCTATTTTAGAGACATAGAAGAAATTTTCGAAGAAGAATTGAAAGAAAGAGCTTGAAACTTTGTGGAATTAAGTAAACAAAAGAGTAAAATTTGAACAACTGACCGATTCAATTGTGAGCTCATCGTAATGTAATTCTTCGCTGGATGTAAATAGAAGAAGAGAAAAGTAGAAAAGCAGAAATCGATCGATCAAGCGGCAACAAAGAAGAAGCGATTTGGAGACGAAGAAGATTTTTCTTTTCTCGATGGTGATGGTGATAATGGGAGATGGAGAAATTGGGGGTCATAACCGCGAAACTTTAAAAAAATAAAAATACTCATTTTACTTAATAAAATTACTATAATTTTGCTTTCTGTAAAATTTTTATTTTTTATTCGAGACGAGAGCTCTGTAAAAATACAGTTGACCGTACTAGTGGCAATTAAAATTTTTTGGGCGTTGATTTAATATTTCCTAATAAAAGAACTGTATATATATAATGTGCGTCTATAATGTGCGTTGTGTAATACATTCACGATTATATAACGTGTGTCTATACCGTGTGTTGTGTAATATATTCACTATTGTGACACACACACATACCCTGTAGGTACATATTAAATAAAAAAATAAATTGATGAAAAAAGAAAAAGCATGCGTATCAGTTAGGAGGTTAAAATTTCTTAAAAAATTTTTTTAGAGCAGAATGAAACAATTTAAAAATAAAATAAAAAAACCTAAATTAATGAGAAAAAAAATTATGTATAGTGAAATAACTTGAAAAAAAAAACCTTGCTACAGTAATGAATAGTGATTTCCATTATTCAAACCTCCCACTTCTTTTAATTATATATATATATATATATATAGAGTGTGTGTGTGTATGCATGTGTATATATGTATAAGATGTAATATTTATTTGAGGTCTATAACAAAATGGTAGATTTCAAATTAGTCCCCCGACTATGTGTAAATCTTCACTATTTTTTATATAGGTGTTTAAAAGCTTTCAATTGTGTGTATATTGCGCGCGCGCGTGTGTGTACATATACACATATATGTATTATAAATTTTTATTAATTTTTTGTATAGGTGTTTAAGAGCTTTCGGTTGCACTCTTCCATTTAAAATTTTCATATATTTTTTAAATGAAAAATATAATAAGTGTTACTTGTAACTTTATATTGCATTTTAGTCAAAACACATTTGTTGACAATAGCCAAAATACTTGATTGAGAAAAAAGTTTGAATACTTATTGAAATATATAGGCTATGATTTGTGACAAATTCAAAATTTATTGAAATCAAAAAAATATGTATTTGGCACTTGTGGTTGAAATGATGTCCACAAAACTTACCAGATTAGTCTCATCTTCAAAAATCTTAGATCATGCGAACCTAATTTTAGAATATATTTGATCCTTGTTGTCGTTGCTCGACATTTAGAGAATTTTCAAAAAAATTATAAAAATTTTATTTTTGTTTATTTACAATTTACTAAAGATGTTGAGTTAAACCATATTTTGGAATTGCCACCTAATATTAAAGAAACTAGGAGATCTTAAAATAGCACTCATTCGGATATTCTAAGACAAGGAGTTGATTATGTTTTTAGAAAAATATCAATCACTCAAAAGCATCATTTACGAGAAAAGGTACCACTTTTGATTTAATCCAAAAAATTTATTTTCTAAAAATTTATATTTTTGCCAAATTATTTCTTATTCAATTTTCAAGTTTATTATCTAATACAAATTAATTCTTTTATTTTGTTTGTGGCGCATATTGAACCGATTGTCGGACCTTATTCATCGAGAGTCTCGTTAATTCAACATTGGATGCACCTTAAGTCTCGACATAATCGATATGTTAGAGAACGACACGATTACTAAGGTAATAAGTTTGAATTAAGTGATAACATCGATCCCTATTATATAGGAGACTTGTAAAAATTAATCTAGTAATTTTCTATTTATATATTTTTTTCTTTTATGTCTTTTTTCTATCATTTATTTTCATTTTCATTTTTTTAATTTTTCAAAATTGGTGGAGAATCGTTATCGATCCCTAAAAATTAGAAGACTCGACGATTCGTCCACTTATTAATTTATTTTAACTATCGATTATTTAATCAATATTCAATAATAAAATAAATCTGAAATTTAATCACCAAAACCTAAAAGATTAAAACCTAACACATAAAATCTACCTCCATAATTTTAGATTTAATTAACATTAAATACTAGACTAAACTAAAATTTAAACACTAAAAAAATTAATGACTAGGCATGAAATTAAATAAATTAAATTAAATAGGCAAAAGAACTTCAAAAATTCTATAAAAAAAATGAAAAATAAATCTAAACTAGAAATGAAAACATGAAGCATGCATAAAAATTTCGGGTTTAATTGACTTAGTGCTTGTTTGATAACCTATTTAGGTAGCTTAAAAAATTAAGTTGTACTACTTAATATAAAAAATTTGTTTGATAATCTAAACAATCTCATTTTTAAATTTTAAATTCAGTCAAAATCTACTTAATTAAATAAGTTAAAATTTTTAACTTATTACTTTTTTATTAAAACGCTCGGTTGAATGATTTTTAAAACTTTTTAAATATGACTATAAAACCCTCATATATTTTTATAACTTCAGTTATACAAACTAATTGAAAAGCAATATCTACTATCCTATTGCTAAAATAGAGAAAACCTTCTCCATTATTCGTTCTTCCATTATATCATCATCAACAAGCTTCTAAAAATCCGAGACTCCAAAGTCTAATCCCGAGTAAATTTCCTTCTATTTTATTATGGGTGATTTACCTTTGTCTCTGTTGATATCTTGATCTTTTTTTTTTTTTTGGTATATTTTTTTTACATAAAGAATGATTATTTTGTTAGATCAAGTTGTGTTATAGATTAAGCTATTTTAGTTTTTAGGTTTTGATTAAAGGTCAAATCTTTATGATTAATTGAAATTTTCATGTGGGAATTCGGTTAGAGCATATGTGCGGCCACGAAATAGCTAAGAAAGTTATCCGAATTTATAAATTTATATCTAGACTATAAGTTGTTCCTATAGTTGTTAATCTAATAGTATTGTACTATGATAATAATGGAGCCAAAGCACAAGCTAAGGAATTAAGTTCTCATCAATATTTCAAGCATGTACTACAATGTTACCACCTAATTAGAGAGATTATTAGTCATGGTGATATAAGGATATAAAGGGTCCACGCTAAAGATAACATAGCCGACTCCTTGATTAAGTCTTTGTTATAACTAAAACATGAGACCCTTATTCGATCATCGAGAATAAGAAATATGGTCTGGTTAGCTTTAGTGTAAAGGAGAGATTGTTAGTGTAGGTATCCAAGACCTAACCTTGATTGGATGGTTTAACTTATTGTAATATTGCATTCTTTATTTTATTAATAAAAGAACTCGTTGCATTAATTATTCGCTGTTTATATTTATTGATAGAATTAGATAGAAGTTCATATGATATGCATTGCATCAATGATTAATCAAAAGATGAGAGATAAACATTAATACGATTAAATGATATCTTTAAATTTCCTAAGTCATAGCATTATTAAAAATAGACATTGACTATATACGGTAAGACTTGTGAATGTTATGCTCATGCTATAAAATAGCGAGTAGGAGATCTTACGGCTATTAGCATGGTGATGTCAAAGCAAGCGCTTAGGTGATTAATGTTAGAGAACATATCACTAGACTTGACTTGTCATAAGAATCCATTTGGTTTAGTCTATAAGAATCTCATACGAGATGGGTAAAACTAGTCCTTTGATTTGAAGTCATCGCGATTATCTCATTAGAGGATTTGTGTACTTTAACACTCGTTTTGATGAACTTAATCAAGAGTCGTACGTGGATGATTCACTAGGGGCATTAAGAATCTAATAGAGATAGATGAGTGACTAAGATAGTACATGTCATTTCTTATATGCTAAAAGGGTTATCACATTGCACTCTGCGATAAATGTCTACTTAAGGAACTATGGCCACGAGTAAGAGAAAACCCAATAAAGTATAATTGGTTTACTATAGACTAAAGACATTTAAAAATCAAAGAAAACTTATGTGATCATAATTGGACGGACTATAAATGAAGTTCGAGATCACACTATGATAAATTCATATGAGAATTGAATTGTATAGTAACCATGCTCATGAAAGATAATTATGAATTAATTAATTCTTCTATAGAATTGTGTAGTCATGATGCCTTGCTAGAGACCAATCTTGATTTATGTATTAAGAGATAAAAGAGATGTCTTTTATTCTATATACATTGCTAACATATCTAAGAGCTTATTAAGTCACATGTATAAGTTTAAGGATTCACATAATAAAAGAGAAACAAAGATTTGGAAAAAGGTTTCTAGTTTTGAAAATTTTCTGTTTTGGAAAAGGTTTCTAAAAGTGAAAATTTTTCTAAAATAGAAAGTTTCTTATTTTAGAAATCGAGTTTTCTAATTTGGAAGTCGAGTTTCAAATTTGAAAGTAAGTTACATAAAGAGGAAATTAGTTTTCTAATTTAGATTTATGGGTAATTTAGAAAATTATTTCCTAATGTGGGCTTTCGTA